GGGGAGGCAATTGGGACCAAAAGTTAACTTTCAGTTTTGTGCACCGAAAATCTGCCTTCGTGCCCGCTGGCCGAATTCCATGTTTTCGCGTAGAAAATCTAATTTAAATTGTATTTTAGCTGTATTTGCTGTTTAAAATTTTTCTGTATTTCACAAATTTTAATGAATATATTTTGAGTTTTTATGTATTTTTGCCTTGCCGCGAAGTGAGAACTGAATTAATTGAATGAGAAATATATCTCTAATGAAATTCGGGGAAATACATTTAAAGAAATGCTGAAAGAATGTATATAATTTGGCAGGTTGTACAAGAAAGTCATGTGGTGTCTACATCAGATTTCTTCATTTACACATACATACACGTTTCGATAGCATTTGGGCTAACACCCTTCTGGGCCAAAAATATTTAAAAACAGCACATGTTTAGAAATTCCGATAGAGAGTCTTGCATATTAGAGATAAAAATATTTTATTCCATACAGTGTGTTGTCACTGCTCGCTTGAGTTTCTTAATCATAAATTCTTTAAAGTTTAAAAAATATGAAATAAATAATAAAACAAATTCGAAGTTCAAGATTCGGGGTTCCAAGTGCCTAAATGCGGGGAGGGGGAGGACTATATTATTTAAAATTTGATGACTGTGGGTATCGTCAGTGCGAGAAACATAAATATATTCATGCAGATTCTACATTATTTAATTTCTATAAATATAATACAGGGCGATAATATTTGGTGGGAACAATTTAAAATGTGGTACAGTCGTTTATAATGATGCGACGCAAAATGCCGTTTCGAGACCAATAATCCTTCTGAGCTAACGCCTCTTTGAGCTTATAAGATATTTGAAGGTATGGTAAAGTGCGAGTGAATTAATGAAATATTAAATGTTGCATTGGGTAGATTTTATAAAATATCTTTAATTTCCTATGAATCTTTTGCGTGATAGAAAAGAATACTGCTGATTATTCTCCATTCAAAAGTGAAAACATTACATAGCTTAGTGATAAGGTATCAATTACTGCAAAACTACTCTATTTTCCCTTGAATTTTCAAACTTTGCTTTGTACAAGTGAAGCGAAACTTCTGATTATTTGCAGACGATAATATCGGGAATTTTAACGTTGAATTTTAGATCTATGTTGTCTCTTTTTCATGTTTACAGAATTAGCTCAATTTCACGCACCGTTATCTTTTAATGTGAGACATGAAATGAGGTTCGGAGAAAAAGCATCCAAAATAATCAAAATAAATTCTGAGAAAATATTTATAATATACGCGTCTTATTTAAACATAATAAAAGAAATGTTTCAGAGTTTTCCCATGCAACGGTAATATGCATGTTTCATCTGTTGACCATAGCGGAGAAGAATACATGTGATCAAGAAATAACTAAATTAAAACCGAAGCTAATGCCGCCCAGCTGAGATAGTGGTTAGCTATGCTTACTGCCGTACCGAAGGGCCAGAGTTCGAATCCCGGAGAAGGCATATATGTTTGTAAATGTATAGCGTCTGTGCGACATGCGGGCACTCTAAATATGCGGCGAGAAGAAAGTCCTTTTAAAAGGTTGGCTGCAGAGGAAGACGTGTGGGAGACTCTCAGACCCGTCTCTTTGGGGTGCACTCCATCGAAGTTGGGGGCGGAACTGAGCAAAGTCATTCTATCACTTGTCTAGTATTCCATCTCTACCTCTTTGCGGAACCCTGTTTTTGATGATAATACTAATCTAGCCTAAGTGTCTCGTGGTGTGGTGTATTTAATTATGGCAAAGCACACTAGGGCTATCTGCCTAAGGGGAGGGATGCCTTCATGGAGGACTTTCTAAGGGAAACTGGCTCGTATACACGTTACACATGGGGAAAACCACGAAAACACCCATGCAGCCAGTCCGTTCGCGGGATTCGAACCTCGAACCGAACTACCAGCCTAAGTGCCTCGTAAATGAACCCTTCGTTGGTTCTTGGTCCAATGCTCTTGCCAACGATAGGCGCAATCTTGCACTCCTTGCCATGATGAAGTTCGTGGGCTTGTTCTGATGTTACCGTCAGACAATTGAGATAAGTCACAAAACAACAGCAATAAACTGAAGCTAAACGATCCGTTTCTCTGCCAACAAAGTGAGAATTACGAATAGGGAACTGAGACGTATTCAAAACAACTCCTGATATATCTAATTGGCACCACAGTGGTGGTTCGGCTCGGGTCAAATCCCGATAATAGGCTAACTTCATGGGTATTTTGGTGTTCTTTCGCATGTGATTTCATAGGTTCTTTGGCAAGCCAATTTCCGTATAAAGTTTTCGCATACGAATGCAGTCTTTGTATGCTTTGTGTTAACAAACGGCCGACTGGCCATCTAATTAGGAAGACGAATAAACTAATACAAAATATAAATTTAGACAAAAAAAAAAAGTCTGAAAGCTTTCAGACTTTTTATATTACGGCCAGAGGGGCGGGTTTTTTTTTTTAACGCTTTTTACGCTGTTTTTTCCTTTTTCTTTTTTTTTTTTTTTTTTTTTTTCTTTTTAGTCCAAAGGGATTTGAATCCCGAAGGACTATTAGTTTCGTTTTGGCATTTTGCGTCGGACTCATAAATGTCGGTTCACTTTTCAAACTGTTGCCACAAAATGTTAGAGTCCTGCATTATATTTGAAGAAATTAAATAATGAAAAATCTGCATAAAATGTATGTATATTTCTCGTATTGTGATAAAAACAACGGTACATAGAGTCATCGAATTTTGAATAACGTAATCCTCCAACGAATATGAGCATGTGGAAAACCAAATTTGAAATTTGAAATTCGTTTTATGATCGATTTCCTATTTTTTAAAACTTTGACGAATTTTTGATTAACAAACTCAAGGATTTCAAAGCGAGCAATGGCAACGTTGTGCAGAAAAAAAAAAACATTTTTATCTCCAGCGCGTGAGTCTCTGTATCGGAAATTCTAAAGATATGCTCGTTTTAAAACTATTTTGCGATATTGCTGTTGCACTGGATCTTATGGTTTAAGTGCGAGGAACATGATATTTAATAAAGAAAGGTAACACACAAAATGTTAAAAAACGCCCCTTTGGACGTAATTTAAAATCTGAAACATTTCAGATTTTTTTTTTTTTTTTTTTTTTTTTTTTTTTTTTTTTTTACGCTTTGTGTAATACCTTTATTTATTAAATACCATGTTCTTCGCCCTTAAACCATAAAATTCAATTGAACAGCAATATCGCAAAGTCATTTTAAAATGATTTCTTTAGAGTTCTGCTACACAGTCTCACGCGATGGAGATAATAAACGTTTTTTTCTCCGTACAAGTGTTGCCATTACTCGCTTTGAAATCTTTGAGTTTGTTAATCAAAAATTCGTTAAAGTTTTACAAAATATGAAATAGATAATATAACAAATTCCAAATTTCGCTTCCAAATACTCGTATTCGGATGGAAACGTACGTTATTCAAAATTTAATGGCTCTAGGTACCGTAGTTTTATCACAATGCGAGACAGATATTTGGTGGCAACAGCTGAAAAAGTGATCCGACATTTATAGTGAACCAACGAAAAATGCCAAAAGGAAATTAATAATCTTTCTGGGCAAATTGCCCCTTTGGACTAAAATCTGAAATCTGAAACTAAAAATCTGAAAACTTTCAGATTTTACATTATGCCAAAAAGGGCGTTTTTTTAAAGATTTTGTGTGTTACCTTTATTTATTAAAAATCGTGTTCTTCGCACTTAAATCATAAAATGCAATTCAATAGGAATATCACAAAATAATTTAAAAAGAGCAAAACAGAACATCTTTAGAATTTCCGATTCACAGTTGGGGGCCCCTATGATAAAGAAATACCTTTTAATTTCAATATGCAAAACATACGAGGGTTGTACGTCTAAGTGAAGGATTACTTTCGTGGATGACTATCTACGGAAAACTGGCTCTTTTTCGTATTTACGTCATACTTGGAGAAAAGCCACGGAAATACCCATGTGGCCAACTCATTTTTCAGAATTCGATATTAGGTTAATTCCTCTGTTAAGCGTGTAAATTTTATACCTTTTAACTTTTTTATTACAAATCGTTATTTATTTTTCCTTACAGTATAAAATTCCAAGACGTCATATGTAAGATTTTTAACTGGTGAGCTTAAAGAAGTTATTTGTTTCATCAAATGACTTAACATTTGGTGCCTTATATGAATTGAAACTTTTAATAAACATAAATTAATATTATCAAGCTCAAATTATATAAAATACACAGCAACTTTGTCTCACGTTTAAGTATTCAATTGTTAACTGTTAATTAAAATTCTGATTTAGATTTATTAAATAATTAAGAAAAAACCCGAGAGTGAGTAAATGCTCAGAAAGAATACAGCGCCTTTCCTATTCCTTTAACTCTGCCGTTAATTTTGATTAAATTATTTGATTGTTAGCCCACAAGGTGTTAGATAGAAGGGCTATTAATTTCGTTTTGGCATTTTGCGTCGAAAATTTTAAATGTCCGTTTTACTTTCCAGACTTTTGTTACCAAATATTATCGCCCTGTGCTGTATTTAAAATAAATTAAATAATGAAGAATATGTATAAATGTATGTGCTTCTCGCATTGTGATAAAACAACGGTACCTAGAGCCATCCAATTATGAATAACGTAATCCTCCACCAAATATGAGCATCTGGAAGCCCTAATTTGGAATTTTTTTATTATCATTTCATATTTTGTAACACTTTAGCGAATTTTTGATTAATAAACTCAACGAACTGTACGAAAAAAAAAAAAAACATTCTTCTAATTCCAGCGCGCGAGACTTCTAAAGATATGCTCATTTTAAAATTATTTTGCTATATTGCTGTTGAAATGAATTTTATGGTTTAAGTGCGAAGAACGTGATATTTAATAAAATAAAGGTAATACACAAAACGTTAAGAAAACACTCCTTTGGGCACTGTGTAAAATCAAAAAGCCTTCAGACATTTTATCAAGTTATTTATTTATCTATTTCAGGACGCTTTCAAGGTTCTAAGGTCTTGGAAGTGGGCAGTGGTGCCACTGTACATAATATTGCCTCTGCTAGTGCTTGCTATGACCATATCGTTCAGAGTGACTATGTGGTGGACAACTGCGAAGAATTAAAGCGGTGGCATGAAGGAACGTCCTCTTTGGATTGGTCTGAGTTCCTTGACATAATTGTCCATCTAGAACATAATGAAAAGTAAGTACTTGCGAACATAAATTGTATTATTCAGAATCATTAATAGGTAAAAAATGAGAAGAGGCAATATTCAGTTTGATTCTTGGGATCTAAGGATGGTAATTAGGGCATGGTAAATAGGGCACATACCCTTTGTGCAAAAGGTTCCCGGAAAATCATGTCATATGCATAAAAATACTTGAATTTTTCTGTTAAATAGAGTTAGCATATTCCCTATACATAAAATGTAAAAATTCTCATCGTCTGGGACATGTAGTTCATGTTCAAAGCAGTTGAAGCATCTTTCGCTTTTTTGATGTTGCATTTTGAGTAATGAAGCCTGAGATTCTTTGACCTTGAAGGAGCTTCCTGCCGATTCTTTGATCCTTCTTCCTGCAGATTCTTTGAAGGAGCTTCCTGCCGTGCCAAAACTACTTAATTTACCTTATTTAAGGGGACTCATACACATTAAACCCCTCATGATCTTCGAATATGTGACTGTTGCAAGAATTGGGATATTTTATTTATTTTAAAAACAATTACTTCCAACTTTTTACAGCTGACTACATAATATAGCCGCTTTAGAAACTAGTAACCAGAAAGTTTGTGTTGCCACAAATATTTTTGTAATATAATCCTCCTTGTGACAAAATATTTCGCCATGTTTCCACCTTGCGCGCATGATATTTTAAAAATGGCTAATGGTTGTAGAGTTGCGCGTCTCCAACTTGCACGCAACCAAGAGGTGACTGTTGAAACTGGAAAATAGACAAGAGTCTTGCTAAGGGTTTAAGTCCCTTTTTATTCAACTTAAGAAATTACAATTGCGTGCTCTTGACGCTCACAAACTACGCCGACCCGGCGGTAAAATAAAAATAAGAACCTGAAAAGAAATAATAACAAGACTCTAACTACGAGGCTCTCTAAAATTAACTAACCTCACCGCGTTTTACAATACCGCTGCTAATTCAGCAAACTTTGAATATCACGTTGAACGATTAACAATTCTCCGAGGCAAGCACACAGGCCGAAACGCGGGGTTCTTCAATTTCTGGCTAACTACCTCCGCGCTCGTGAAGTAAGAACAGCACACCTCGAACTCGTTTCCTTTCTATTTAACTCAGAATACTTCCGCTGATAATTTGAATCCTTGCGCGTTCTACTAAAATTTACATACTCTGGCATTGGCAGTTCCAGGGGAAAGTAAGGCTTGACAGGAAAGATAGTTTAAACTTAAAATAAATGTTAGTTAAAATAAATATAAACCCTACATAGTACATACTTGAAATTGGATGGAATTCTTTATATGGGCACTATTTTCTAACCGAACCAACAATATGATGAATATTTTAATATTGAAAAATTTTATGAACGAAAACATTACAAATTTTGTTAATAAAATACATTTTATAAACTCAACTCAAAATAAAATAAAAATTTAACACGACATTTTTAGAATTTTAGGTTTACAGTAGCTTCCAAATGTTATAAAAGCTATATATTAAATATGGAATTAAATTATGAAACAGAATCTTTTAAACTGCGCGCGCAAGTTGGGAACATGACGAAAAATATTGTCACAAAGCGGATTAAATTATAAAAATATTTGTGGCAACACAAACTTTCTGATAACTACTTCAGAAAGCAGCTATATTATGTAATCAGCTGTAAAAAGTTGGAAGTAATTGCTTTTAAAATAAATACGTTATCCCAATTCTTGTAAGAGTCACCTATTCGAATATCTTATGGGTTTTAAGGTGTATGTGTTCCCTTAATACCCTGTGGCTCCGCTATTCTCCGTTAGAACGCTTTTTGGAGTCAGTGTTTTCGAATAATTCACATTTATCCTAAACGATGCAAATGCCAGTTTCAAAAGAGATATTTATCAAGTACTTCTACTTCTAGGAAGTCAAGAACACTGGAGCATGGTACAAATGTATATTCTGATGGACGTTATTCAAAGGTCGTTATGTAACAATCTTTTACATTTAAAATGGAATTGCATTATAAGCATTTCCTGCGAACGTTTTCAGCACAGGAATGTAGTATCTATAGGAACTATGTGTAAATGCCTTTCGTTATTAAAAACAGTCAATTTTTTTTGACACGTTCCATATTGCAAACATACTGTTTTTTTTTTTTTTTTTTTTAATTAATTTTCAGGTTTCAACCCTAATGTGAATAAACAAATTATAAGTTTCTCTCTCTTTGCCCTCATTTTTTTTTACTTATTTTTATTTATAATGCTTTCTTTCCACTTAGTGCTTAATTCTGATATAAAGATTATTTAAACCAACGAATCTAAAAGTATCTCATTTCTCTTGCCTTCAGTTAAAAATAGAATCATTCGAATTAGAAATCAAAGTGACTACGTTGGAGGTATCTGAAAGTTAACCTAACATAAAAGGTAACATTTGAAAAATATCAAGACCTTATGCTTTGATTTGTTCTTCTGAACTTTCTTATCAAGAGTATAGTACTCGGATAGTACGTCGGCTGTTGCAGAAAGGGAATTAATATCGAGGAGAGATAAATTAAGAAATTATTGCAAAAGATAATTATAAAAGTGACAGGGATTATTTTTCCTATTTCTTTCTTTACAGTGATTTAAGGATTGCCAGAAAGGAGTTGGAATCCCGTATTCGGAAAAGTGTGAAATGTGTTGTACGGAGTGATCTTCTCTCTGACACTGTTCTGCCTGTAGAACTGCTGATTGCCACAGAAACAGAGCCTCCTTTTGATTTGGTAATATCCGTCCTGTGCATCGAAACTGCGGCTCCAGATTATGAGGGTTACATTGATATCTTGAAAAGAATAAATGGTCTGTTAAAAGTAGGTGGAGGGCTCATCATTTGCGGCTATGAAAATGGTTCAATGTGGCAGGTAGGAGACAAGACATTCCACCATATTAAATTGACGACCAAGCAAGTGTTAGAAGCTCTTGAAACAGCTGGCTTCGGAAAATGTGACCTCAGAACGCTTCCTAAAGTAAAGTCTGAATATTCTTATGATTACGAGACTTTGTTTTGCGTAGCAGCAGAAAAATTATAAATTCTTAGGGCATTTGATCTTATATTTGATTTATCTTGGTAAATAAATGAATTTCTTTTTGAAACCTGAATATTTCTTAATTACAAAGGAAATCGCACACAAAAGTAGAGATTTACATTACTGATATACAGGGTGTCCTATCAAGGCCGCCCAAATTCTGCACAGACAGATTCTTCACTTGGAATACATAAAAAATTCGCTCAGAACTGTACGACCCATAGTTTTCGAAATAAATGCAGCAGAAAAGTATGACTTCAGATCCAGTGCAAAAGGGGGGATTTATTGGAAACATAATCATCCCTCTTTGTATATGTTTACATCGTAAGCCGTTCAGAATGTCCAACGAGCATCGAGGCATGCACGCGCTTGCCGTGGAATGGCTGACTGCACACTTTGCAGCAGCTTGTTGACCACTTAAGTAAAGGCATACTCTTGGCACTAAAAGGCACACTCTTGTTTTAGGAGATTATAAAAATTCTGTTGTCATTCCCTTCTTTCCATCAATAAGCTATAACGTTGCACATATTTTACAGAAATTTTAACTTCCGAGTCGTTTATTCTCCCATCAACAAAACTCCGAGTTCCATACTCAAGGACCCCATTCCGGATATGAATTTCTGGGGTATTTATAGGATTCCTTGCCAGTGTGGTTTAATTTACATTGGCCAAACTAAGAGAGCCTTAAAATTTCGCGTCAAGGAACATGAGGCATATGTTAGAAAAAAGGAAACACAGAAGTCTTCTGTCGCCCAACATTGTTGGTCCGATAATCACACTTTCAATTTTTCTGCTGCCAAAATTATTCAAGAAACATCTTCCATTGGAGAACTGGATTTTCTAGAGGCATTTCACATTCAAAAAAAATCTTTCTGTTCTAATTAAACGATCCTAATTCCAATCCATCTTTGCCTTTGGCCTTTTAAAGAAATTATATTTTAGTTCTGGTTTCATCAACACATGGCGCCACTAGCTTATTTTCTGTCCAGGCTTTCTTATCTTATCTGATCATTATACCCTATCTCGTTCATTTGCGCTTTTGCAGCTGACGATGGTGGTTCGGTAAAAGCATCAAAACTAGTCCTGTGAAAATTTGAAAATATAACGCCGATTTTTGTTGTTTGACTTCTGAATTAGAAAAATGTATGCCAACACTTTAAAGCTGCATTGGGAATTCTAAGTGTATACTGCTATGCCGCTTTTGAAATCTTTGTAATTTTGCCGTTGAACTATATACGGTGTAAAGTGCGAAAAAAATTATGCTTAATAATAAAGCTAAAAAGTCAAAAAAAAAAAAAAAAAGTGCTTAATAGGAGTGACTGTAACAGCAGACTGGTAAACTGCAAACTCAGCGAGAGCATAAAAAACCTCAACAAATCTTTTTGGATGACCGTTAAAATCTGAAACCTTTCAGATTTATTATTATCATTATTAGCAGTGCCACTCGTAGTGAAATTCGTAAGTGCAAAAAGAGTTAGATTTGTGTCCTTTGGAACTTGAATGAATTACCAAGTAAAAAAGAAAATAAGGAGTTTGGATAAAAGCAGACACTGAGCTAGATTTATCGGTTAAAAAAAGCCTGCAGACAGGGAAACTTGAGATTCTTGTTATGCACTCACGCCCACTATGGCGAACCCGGTTTATAACGAACACGGATAAAACGAATGACCTTTCGATCCCGCTCATTTTCCTTTAATCTATTCCATTCGACTATAGCGAACTCCCAAATATACGAAATCGGTTAATGCGAATTTCATGGATATCTACTTTTTTATATTTCGACATAAAATTCGATTCAACAGCAAAATCAGAAAATATTTAAAAACAGCATATCTTTAATCATTATGAAATAGCCTAACAAAACAATTTCAAAATTAAGGCCACTGCGAGAAACATACACACAATCATGCAGATTCTTCATTATTTAATTTCTTTAAATGTAATACAAGGCGATAATCTTTGGTGGCAACAATTTGAAAAGGGATACGCCATCTATAAGTGATTCAACGAAAAATGCCGTTTCGAGACTAAAGTCTCATCCGGGACTAATGTCCCTTTTGGGCTAATAATAAAGAAATGAGATCCTAGATATTTTCTAATTAGGTGATTTAGGTGCTGCCATTTATTTTCTTATAAAATTTACTCACGGTCTCTAAAGCACGAAGTTTAAGAAATGCACATGCTGTTGTTTTCCTGTTTGCTTATACACAAAATTTATCTCAAAAGAATTACTGCAAATTTTCTTCCTGGATTGTCGTGACCAAGGTAAGTATTCCTTGTCCCTTTTCCGTTCTTTGTGATTTTTTATTGACGGTTAAACTTTTGCTTTATTTAAGTCCGAATTTCTGTGGATTTTATCTCGCTGTGCTTTCATAATTTCTCTTTACTTTGGTTTGAAATATTTAAAGATATTTTTCAACTTGCAGGTACAATTATAACTGCATTTTGAGCGCATATTTCTACAACTTTTTTCATTAAATTTCTTTAAAAAAAAAAAAAAACTTTTTTGCTTGTGAAACGGGAAGGAAAAAGCTTTTGACCATATTCAGCGTTATAAAAAATTATATAATAACTACGTTAAGAAATACAAACATTAAAAAATTATTTCAACAGTATGCAAATTTATTCTGTGTTAAGACTATTTTAAAGTGACATTTTAAGAAAATTACTCAATATTTAATAAAAGGATATGCAATTCTTTCATGCTTTTTAATAGGAAGTTATTTTGATAAAGCTATATGGTAAAATACTCATTAAAAATTAAATTTTACTGTCAGCAAATTCCATCCCACATAAAATGTAGATTAGTAAACAAAATTACACATCTTTTCAGTTATTTCTTTATGGATAAAACCTTATTTAATATTTCAATATAAAAATGTGGAAATTATACTGAGATTTTACGAATACACACTCACACACCCCCGCACATATATATATTTGCATTTATAAAGAAATGCAAGGAGAAAAAATATTAAAAATAATGATGAATTTCAAAATTTATTTAAAAAGGATTTGAAAACTTTACATTTGTATATAAAATTTTAGTTGAACATTTATTACCATTATTAAGAGGCCATTTTGATGTTCTTATTCAGACAAGCATTTTCAGGAAAATATTGAATTAATCTATCTCAAATTCATTTTTTAAGCAAATTTGTATGACTCTAAACTTAGGTTGTTATTTAATTTCAAATATTTAGTTGTTATTTAATTTCTGCTATGTAAAAAATGATCAGATGGCAAAAGAACACTGACGTAAAACGTCTTTTTGAAGTAACAACAAGAGGTTCCATTAACTTAATTCTACGCTATTCCATAGCCGTTGTAACCAATAGAAACATATTCTATTTATTGTGAAAAGTGGATTATTTTGAATGCTTTTTCATTAATATTCATTATTTGTTGTTTAACTTTGGTTTTCTTAAAACCTCTAATAAAAATAAATTATTGTTAATGAGGCTAAAGTGCAGAATCGCCCACTTATTTGTTTGGCGCTTTTTACAATAGTAAGAACTGGATTTTTGTCAATTTCCTTTGACTTTTTAAGTGACAATAGGTCGATGTGTACATGGATAAAGTCAAGAATGTGCGCAATGTCATTTTTGTGCAATTCTGGGATTTTTTTTTAAGTGAAAATAGGTCGACGTGTACATGGATAGTGAGTATGTGCAATTCTTAAAAACGTGCCAAGCAATGGGCGATGCTGCACTTTCCCCGTTATGAAAGCAAGAATTCAGATCATTATGTTTCCTTGTATAAAGACTCTTTTTTTTTTTTATGCGATTTTGTTTTCCCCGTTTTAGAGCATGTCTTCAAAATCCAGTAGTCATTATAGTCAATTACCGCGCAGCCGAACGCGGACCCGAACTCCAAAAAGCAGTAGCCGAATGCAAACTTTAAGTCCAAAAAGCAGTAGTCGATTACAAAGTCCAAAAAGCAGTAGTCGAATAAAAAGTCTTAAAAGCAGTAGTCGAATTCAAAATCCAAAAAGCAGCAGCCGAATGCAAACCGTAAGTCCAAAAAATAACAGACGATCACGGTCTTCAAATCCAAGAAGTGCAAGGAAAACGCGGCCTCGAAGTGCGAAGAGCCGAAGCAAGTCTCCAAAAGGTGCCCATCTACTTAATCCTGGAAATTTTGCTGGAAAGAAGGGCCCTGTTCCCTTTACTATATGGAAGAAACACGATTCATACGAACCTGGTACGAGTCCAAGCCGTATAGTCACTAGATCTCAGACTGGATTCAATAGAGTAAAGGTAATTTGGAAATTTACTATCCTATAAAAGATTTATTATTTTTATTAGAAGTATGACTTCTGCTAGAACTGAGTAATGAATACTCTACTTTTAATAGTTTTTAAGCAAGGTTTACTGGTCTCCCAGTCGGCATAGTAGTTAAAAGAGGCAACCTCCCTTGTGAATGGATTCAGATTAGAATACGAGGTACGTCTCCACATCTTGCATTTAGGCTCAGTAAAGCCATATACGAAAGTTTGTTGATAGGATAAGAGAAATATAAGACTCATAAATAATATTTCCTGCGATTTTTCAATCAAATTGAGATGGTGCCTGGTATAACTTCAAGGGTACTTTCGCGTTATACATTAAATAGTATCACTGTTGTCATTATCGTAAGTTTTAAGCATCATATTGCAAACGTTTTAAGGATTTTTAGTCTTCATTTTGTGTCATAAAAAGTGCTATGTTAGCACAGCAAAATCCTGGTCTGTTCTTAATTCTTAATACAATGGAAATAAAATATCAAAAGTTTTCAAGTGTCCCTCTCAACCGTCCTCTAAACTCAGTACGAATGTCAAATTATAAAGCTTCGTAAAACTCAAAAAATCACATCATGCATTTCGCTGCAGTTGATCGATTTTTCTCTTCCTCATACTAGTTTTGGCAGTAAGTTGAAAACTTAAAATTTCAAACAAAATCCCTTACAAAGTATTTGATACAACGAGGTTTTGTTGCCTACCAAAATAAGTTCTCCGTATATCATTTGTGATAATTGTGCTATACATAACTTGTGAATGCCACTTGATTGTCACTGCTTAATACCGAAGGTCTCTGGATGATGAAAAATACGCATTGGTAATGATCAGTGAGGACAGTTCCCATGCCTCTGGACTTGGGCTGGAAATTGGGATAATGTATGGACGTTTGTATTTGTCATAGTTGTGGGAAAAGTAAAAATTCGAGGTACTGATGAGAATCTGGAATCTTATTGCAACGACAACAACAGCAACAGCTTAGTGCAAAGACTTGGATCCGAACCCATAAGTTCTTACGCCGTATGACCAATATATTGCTATCTGATAAATAATTTCAGTCTATTTCGGATAGCTTGTATTCAAAATTTGAACCCATAAGTTCTTACGCCGTATGACCAATATATTGCTATCTGATAAATAATTTCAGTCTATTTCGGATAGCTCGTATTCAAAATATTCTGATTTGTTGTCTGACTACGAAATATGACTATTTTAGTGCTTTAACAACAAAATCTGGCGGGGTGTGCTCTTCACAGCTCAACCTTTTAGTATGCAGTAGTTCTGCAAACGATGTTATGTTCTCAGGAACTCAAACTATGTAAATATTATTATGATTACTCCTGGTCCAAAAGATCTAATTGTTTTTAAGGTGGCTTCTGAACTAAAAATCTGGTGAACGATAACTCGTCACCACCTGAATATTACTACAACTGTATACCAGGTCTCATGCCTCTCTCCAGTTACCCTTTACGTAGAGGTGGTGTATTTAATTATGGCAAAGCACACTAGGGCTATCTGCCTAAGGGGAGGACTTTCTAAGGAAAACTGGCCTGTATACACGCTACACATGGGGAAAACCACGAAAATACCAATGCAGCCAGCCCGTTCGCGAGATTCGAACCTCAGACCGAACTACCAGTGTTCAGCGACTTTACCGCTCGGCCGCTGGTGGGCCCTTTATGTAGAGGATATAAGGAATTATGACATTCTCCTATGCCTAACTGCAATGTAACTATAGTTTTGCTTTTCTGTCTTCCAAAAAATTTTCCATAAAAGTGTCTGCGTCTGATTTATATTTAAAGCAAATGTGAAGGGAACTTTACCACAAGAAAAAATAAGCATTCCCTGAAAACCACATTACAGTGGAACCTCGATTCTTTCTTGAATGCCATTCGCCAACCGAAATATTCGCAAACAAAATAATTTTCTCTGTAAGAATTAATGTAAAATGGATTTATTCGTTCTTCGATCAAGTTTTTATTTAAAATTCATTGTCTCGATAGTTGTTTATTTAAAATTTAAAACTGCACAAGTTCATAACCCAAAACCAATGAAAATCACTAAAAATAAAACAAAGAGAGTAAGTACAATATTAAGCAGGCAAAATTACCAACAAGTTAATTTTACTGTACCCATGCAAAGGAAAGTGGATGGCTTTGAGTGCAAAATGATGAGGAAGATGCTTCTTTTGGATTTACTTTCCGCAAAGATATTGGGTAATTACCTTTAGAAGGCATTTTCGTGCTTTCTTTGTTTCAGTGTCACTCTGCTCAAGACTTATTAGGCGTCTCTTTCACTTAAAATTTGTCCAATGTGATTTGCAATTGCCTACGTTTTAAAATGTTTCTAAACGAGACATAGCATTGTCATTGAAAATACTTATGCTGCAGCTTGCTACTGCTTTATTAGAGTGATATCATTACGTGGAAACTTTATCATCTCATTTTTCATGAATTTCACAGATAAAAAAACTTGGTCCTTTCTTCCTCTTTTAAAAAGCCTTTCTTTCACAGCCGTTATGTCACCTTTCTTATATTGCCACTTCTGAAGTTGCATTCCTTTCTTGCAGCTACTTTTTATTGGTCCTCTAGTAACTTTTCCACGTCGTTATTGTTAAATTCTTAGTCCATGGTTTGCCTAGAACTGCAGTATTATATATAACTGTAAGAAAAAGGCTACCTGGAATTATCAAAATATTAATGATTATTTATCTATATCGAGAGATAAGAAAGGTAACAAAGCGCAAGAATAAAAGACAGTACATTGCTCAGTGCCTTCACTCGCAATTTAGCCACAACTTCTGTGAGTTTTTGCCAATAAATCATAGTAGCGACAGGCAGTTCGTGTTGGTAATTGACTTGAAAGATGTACTTTGGGTACATCTATCGTCCGGAGTCGCGAATGAATTCAAGACCTAAGTCTGGCAAAACATGGTCGTGGGGTGGCATAATTAGTGAATTCATTAAAGTTCATCCAATCAAAAAGTTCAAATGGTCGTATTCAATCTCTGAGAAGTTCTAAATAGGAGTTTGTGTATTTATAACGTTCGTGGTTGAGAGCACTTTGGTCACGTGATTTTAAGTAAAACAACTTAAGTTTTCTATCTTTAAAGTTCGAAACAGTATTTTCCCCGACATTATACAAAACATTCACAGTTCTTTCATATTAGCTTTAGTCAAAAACACAAAGTCCAGAAAATAATTATAAATTTGAGTAAAATTTGCAGTTTTCATTAATTGTAAAGTCTTAACATGCGATTGGAGAATGCACTCGTGGAGGAAGAGAGTACAACCCCCAAACCGGATCACTTATAGCCTTAGCCGGTTTCAGTTGCCAACGGTCGAACTGGATCTCGGAGAGAAAAATGTGAGGGCTTGCCTACAGGATAACAAATAAAGGTTCGTTGTAAGCGCTCCAAGTTTCTGTCTGCAACCAAATCTGGCATAATTACCTCCAGTCCAAATTCCTAGTGCTGTAAATCACTTGCTGCCAAATTCTGTTAATGAGAACAATTAAATTATGTTTCCAGAACGACCTGAGTATCAACTATGGCATAGATTGTCTCAAAACACCTCTTATGTTTCCAACTTCAGTATTTGTAACTCGAGACACTTTCGTCATCCGAGTAACTTTTTGTTGAAAAACGAGATGTCAGTGATTGAAGGTCAATTGTACAAATTTCTGTCACCATTGACGCAATGAAACCTATTGAAAATGGTACCACTAAAAATTTCTTTCATTGATCACTAACGAACCTTATTTCACATAAACCCCAACTTACTGTTTAATCATTAAGAATTCAAAATTAAATAGAACAGCTTGGGTTTAACAAAATACTCTTTAGTTTATTTTCTGTCTAATGAAGAAATTTATACATTATATTAAAACAAAATAATTATTTGGTAATAATCCTTACTGGCACGTTTTGACATAACTAGGGAAATAAGTCCATTTACCTTGGAGAACTCATCTGAGTCTTAACATATCATTTTCTATATATTTCTATATATATTTTAAAAGAAATATTTTCTCCTTCTTCAGAAAACAGATTCAAACACTGCACTATTCGGGGATGAGAAGAAATTCGTAGTACCCAACTGTCCTCATTTATCATTAATCATGAAAGGAAGGCACGGAGCTTTGCCTGCTACCATAGTCACTCGATCTTCAGGCAAATATTATTCAAAGGACGATAAACTCGAAGGCAGACTTACATGGTACAAGACTGGAAAAGGAAGAGATGCATCGGAAGCACGCGAAGATTTTGAATTTTCGCTAAGGACGGATGAAGGTGATGATGAATATATGTGTTCAATTCAATAAAATATTTTTCCAATCAATAAATTGTTACTTTTTTGTATGTACATCAAACTGGATGAATGACTGAGAATTATGTATTTATAAATATAACTGTGTGTTGTACTGTGCGCATAGTTACAATAGATCCCTTATTTCGTACAAGGAAGTGAAAATGATATTGTCAGTTCGTCATCAAGTGCATCATGATAGCAAACTCAAAAGCAATTTTTTCAGTGAGAAACTTTTTTTTTCTCCTTCCGTCTACTTCAGACTGCAACACACTTTTTTAACAAAAAAAAAAAAAAAAAAATTTCTATCGATTTTTAACTTGCTTCTAGATAAGCTATTGAGTTCAATTTTTTTTAAATTAATATTTCTACATTATTCTTGTTTAAGAGAGGAAAATAAAGTTTCAAAACTTTGTTTTTAAGAACACATTTTTAGATGTTGAAATATACCGTATTTCTCCCGCCCTTTAAAACGGGGAGTATATGATGTATTTTTCCGTCACCAACAGCCAAAAATATTTGTAAATTAACTACTCCTGCTGAAGTTTCTAATATTATAAGAAAATTACACCCAAAGAAAGCACCGGGAATCGACTGTATCACTAGCATTACCTTAAAACATCACCCGAGTAACATCATCACAAAAGTTACTAGTATTTTCAATCCTTGCATTTCAAACTCTTACTACCCCAACCCCTGGAAAGTTGCAAAGATCATCATGATACCCAAACCAGGGAAAAGTCTACTTCAACCAGACAGATTTCGTCCAATAAGTCTTCTCCCGAGCCTAAGCAAAGACTTTGAAAGAATTCTACTGGAAAAAATGAAGTCTTATCTCACTTTACTGCACCCTGAACAATTTGGATTCAGAGCTTACCTTTCAACTTCCAAACAACTAGTAAGATTGACTGAATTTATAGGCTCAGCTCGTCACTGTAACCAAAATGTTGCTATTCTCATGCTGGATGTGGCGAAAGCTTTCGACCGTGTCTGGCATGAGGGTCTCATAGCGAAACTTATTAATTTGAACTTTGAACGTGAGCTCCTGCTAATTATTTTCTCTTTTATCACCAGCAAAAAATTTTTAGTTTCTGTTCATGGTGCCTTCTCTTCAGAACATCCAATTCACAGTGGAATTCGTCAAGGAAGTGTTTTAGGTCCAATTTTCTATCTCTTCTATGCTGCAGACTTCCCTTCTGTACTCTACAACAATAACTCAATTTTAGCTTGTTATGCAGATGACACTGCTTTGGCGGTGAAATCTGCAAATGTGAATCATGCAGTTAAAAAACTCCAAGACCACATCCCTTTCATAGAAGACTGGTGCAAAAGTGGAAAGTACAAATTAATGCATCCAATTCTCAACTACTCATCATCAGAAAAAAGAAAAATAAAAAGAACCTCAAGATGCAACTCCTATTGTTTAATGAACCCATACCTGTTATGAAACATGCTAAGCATTTAGGAGTTACCCTGAATAGTAAAATGACATGGACTAACCACATTAATAATGTGAGAAATAAAGCCATCTACATAATGAAGTGCTTGTATCCTATGTTAGGCCGCTTTTCAAAACTTAATCTCACCAAAAAGAGATTAATCTATCTTTCAACTATTCGTCCTATTATGACATATGCCTCACCAGACTGGACTACTGTGACTAAAACTGACTTGAAAAAGTTCAGGTTGTGCAAATTTTTTTTCTAAGACTGATAATTAGTGCTCATTACTTTGTGTGAAACGAAGTACTCCACAGGAACTTAAAAATCGAGCCACTAGATACTTTCTTACGCAAAACAAATGACAAGTTCTTCAGGAAAGCTAAATACTGTGAACATCTGAATTTATCTAATCTATTTCATTATGAAAGCTTAGACGAAGACAGACATCTCCGTACGTTTCCTGCTTTTATCCTGAATAGCAATCAGAACTTTCCTACGTAATTGCTATCTTCATTTGCTAATCATTTAGATACTATTGGAACTCTAAGTCCAAAATGAAGCAGCATTCATCAGAGCCAGCACTTGAGATGGTGGTGTCCCACGACCTGTGCACACCGCTATTCAGATGTATTTTTCCTGCAATCAAGCTTTCCTGAAACTATGTACATATGTAAATAATCTATATTTAACCTAGAAAAACCTAGCATACATTTTGTAGTTTAACTGTGATGTAATGTTGCTGGATCAAATACTAGTAAAGCTTTTTATGCTAATTCAGAGAATGAAACTTGTATCTTCTAAACATAAATGATTCTGAAATTTATCCTCCAAGAAGATTGGTTAAGAATGGTATGACTACATGAAACTGCTAAAATTAAAATTGGAAGTATTATAAACAGAACTCCAAAAGAATCCTAGATGGAATAAATTAATGACAGAAGTTTTATAATTGGTGTGGTCATGCAATCAATTTCTAGCTGATCAGAGTAATATTGGGGATGCCATCCATGATTAACTCAACATCATTATTAATGAAAAGACAGTTAAAAAATGGGAAAGAGGAATAACCCACATTATAATTAACAGAAAACTATGTTCGTTTCACTATATAAATTAAATCAGTAATCAAAAGAAACAAAATTTCAAAAGAAAAGAATAATGTCTTAGTTTACACTACTCTTGTATATCAATAGGAGACACTGTGAAATAAACAATGAATGGTAAGACATGTTACAATTAAGCAATTTAGTTTTAAACACAATGTTTTGATATTCCATATTACGTACAATTTAAATTAAGCACTGCTATAGGAAAAAATAACTCCCAAACGTAATGACAACATCTGGTATCAGTGCTGTTAGTCAACACATTTTTCTTTTCCTTCTTATATTCTTTGTGGACAATTTCATTCTGTGCTGGTGACCTGTGATACTTTTTCCATAATAAAGTCAACATATTTTTATTTGTTTATTAAGATACAGTCTGGTATATAACTGACTGTAGATCTGTCTGAAAAGTTAATTTTTCTGGTACATTCTAATTATCCATAACTCCATGAAAAAATAATTAACACATTGTGACTTTCAGAATTGAGAATAAATATGTGTTTTGACGAACTTTTAGAGTACATAGATATTGTTTTGTTCATAAATGTTTATAAAGAGAAGAATTTTGTAAGAAATAAGAAATTTCATGAGAAAATGCAAAAATCTGTAGGGCCGATATTTATATTTTAAAAATAGATGGATATAATTCAACAAAATGGTAGTTAAGTATAAAGCATGTAAATTCGTGTGTGTTATATACATATTTGATTTTGCTACTGCCAGGTGAATGTTAAAAAATATGCCAAAACACAATAATTCTACTAAATGTTAAAACCAGGAATATTAGTAATTGGAAAGTATCATTTTTCTTTTAGCTAAAAAAAATTATTTTTCTTCTTTCTTTGCACAGTTCTTTTGCACAGGTCATTACTTCTAAACAATATTCTATTATTTTCACATGTTACTTACATCAATATGCTTTTCTTAAAGGAGATTAAAAAGTGTACGAACTAAAAATTTAAGAAATAATAAAGAGTTCTACAGGTAGTTCAGTAAATATATTCAAACTTAGGACTAAAATAATAAAATAACTGAAAAACATTATTTGAGACAAATAAAAAATAAATAAATTCTTAACTTATAACCAAATATTCACCTTTATTGATATGCAATAAAAAGATCAATAAATGAAATAACATCTACAACAAAAACTCTGCAAAAGCAAATTATGTGGAACTAGAACCTGTTGATACCTAAATAAAAGCATTTTTAGAAGATTAATGGTTTTAGCTGATGCAGAATAGATTATTTTTACACATTTATATTCATAATTACAAGCATTAATAAAAAAAACCCTCTAAATCCCATGAATGCATTTGCTGTTTCATAATTACATTTTACAGCTGCTGTCTCCGACATGCATAACAGAAATGGAGAAACATTTATTTATCAAAGATAAATTTACTGATAAGTACAGCCATTAAATTATTACTCTCCTAGGAGAATTTTAACTTCTGCAAAATGCTCAAAGAAATTAATTTTCTAATTTTACATATTTTTAAAAACAATAATCTTCAGGTTTTTTTCATTTAACATAAAAATGGAACACACAAATAACATATATAAAATATTACTTGCTAACAGACAATTAATTGTAACAAATTTTTAATTTCAATTCTAAATAAGGCTCTATTAGATTGCTAATATTACAATTTATCATGATACAAAGAAATGCGATATTAACGCAAGAATAATAATGAACAACACAAATATACCCTGTTCTTTTACTCAAGCTCAGGTCATAAATTTTACTTTAAAAAGGAACAAAGAAGGATAAACCAATTACAAAATAGATTTATTGGGCTGTCCCTTGGAACAAGAGCAGGAGGCTCAATAAGCCTATACCATTTTACTGAAATTTTTTCAGACTGTGCATTATACATGCACATTTTATGGAATTTAATAAATAAAGCTGCAAAATGCAACATAAGAAACAAGAACATTAACAGTATGTCAGACAGAAATGTTAATTCCTCTAAAATTGAGCAAAGTATAGAATTAATTTCAAAATCTATAGAACAAGATATTTTCATTCATATAAACATGAAATATAATAAATTAGAATCAAAACAAAAAATGATTTTTAAAATACATACAATTCACTGAAGATAATACACAACCAACTGTCAGAATACCAAATACATCAAAAGAGAAAACAAATATATTCTAGTGGCAAGCTTTCTTTTATTGACGTGTGTGTTACTAATTCATACTTCATTATTAATGCCAAAAGTTTAATTTTACACTTAGACATAATAGTTAGTGAAACACATTTTTTGCATATAAATTTTGAATATTCAGGAAAAAAGAAGAAAAATTTAAAAGCAGAAGAAAATGTGCCATATTTAATATTACCAGTGCACAGTAAAGTTCAAACAGAATACTTTCAAATTGCTATATTTTATAGAAAACAGTTTTAATTCAAAGCTTCATGTATTATAAGATTTCAATACTCCTAATATCTATCTAAAACAAAAGTGTTTGAACAATGTAATTTTCTGTATTTCTCCAAGCTTGCAAGTGATTTGAGTCCAGTCTTCTAAATTAAATCTTGTGTATACAAAAATGAAGTAACTATGAATGCCTACAACAAGCTAAAATATTTCAATAATTGTGATTATTCTTTATAAAAAAATTGCTTTAACTTGAGAGTTCTGCTGATAAAAAAAAATAAAAATAAAATATAAATGAAACTATCTGAAACAAAGCCAGTTTGCTGAAAATAATCTGGATTATTTAACACTTTTTATATTTCCCAGCTACCATATAACAATATAATTAACAGATAAAAAGGCATTCATAAATTTAAGTTCACAGTAAAACAAATGTCGTGACCTAGTTACTCAAGTCTGTACAAACTTCCAAATAAAACTTTCATTTTGCTGAAGTCTCCATAAAAAGTGTCTCTCTTCCACTTCAAATTAGCAAATTTATACAAATGATCTGCTAGACATCCAACACTTAACTGGTAAGTACAGATTGTACTGGATATTTCCATGTCATATATTACACATAATTTATGAGATTTCATCGGCTGGACTTTCATGTCATGTGAGTTCTTTTTGTATTAGCTTCACTCATTACATAAATATCTGTCAACACTATATTCCAAGATTTCCTGGACTGTTAAACAATGGCCTCTGAAGTGGCACACCAGGAGGTGACATAATGTTGTTCATCATTACGTTAGATGTAATGGGACTTACCACAGCAGGAAGAGAACTGGGACCTGAAAATCATAAATAACATTCATAAAGCAATAATCAAAGCATTAACCTTTGACCTTCAAAGTATTCCTATCAAGCACAAATGATGGTTGGCACTATATATATCTGGATACAGTACTTAGGCCTTTCAAGAATAACTGTATTAAAAAAATTGCTGGCATTGTTACATATTCCAAATTTAAATAAATATTAGCTGCATGCTAAAATGGAAAGAAAGCAGAAATTAAACGGACACATAGAGATCTTACACATTACAAAATTAACATAAAACGTACATTTTTCTTCTATTATTGATTTCCTCACTTCCACGAAAGGTGACAAAATATTCTCTGCAATACAGTTATCAGTTTTGCTTTTTGTGATTATGGTTATTTTGAATATTGCAAAGCACTTGAGGGCTATCTTAAGGAAAGGGATGTCTTCATAGAGGACTTTCAGAGGGAAACTAAAAAGAACTTTCTACTGTGCATAATCATTTTCCCATTTGCAAGACATCAAGCTTGAGGATTTATTTTGCCCTTTGTTGTATCTGTTCTTTTTATAATTATTTTTATTGTCTTAAATGAAACTGATACAATGATCTAAAATTTTGGAGAATGCAGAGAATCATAACCTGTGTAGGTCGAGGAAATACTGTACAATGAATGTAATGCGTGATCATGCATTGCTTGTTGGCAGATAACTCTGGGGTTCTGAAGATATGTGAAAAATCATATGCCATAATGTTGCGCTAACTGCTCAGAATTCCAGATTTGTGCATCACATGCAGGTAGGATTTTGTATACAATTGCACTCTATATAGAAACTCCAGCCTACAGCAAAACTTGTTAGTAGTCAGTGCATTAATGACATTTTAAAACTTATTATTAAAGATTATTGACATATTAAAGAAATATGTCATTGTACAGCATATTTCTTTAATTAACCATTAAATGAAATTAATATAATTACATTCAACTTAAAATCCATAAATATAAAAAAAATTAATAATTAAAAGTACTTCTTGTAAAACATGTATATTTAATCAGAAACTTTCATTTTATTTCTCAAGCAGAAATACCACCAAATCCACCAATTGAAGTAAATATTTTAAATCACAAATAATAGTAGAGGAAATTAGAATCCACAAATCACTGGTGAGGTTTCTGGATTCTAATTTCTACAGGAAAACTGAAAAACAAAAATAATAAATTCTAGATAGAGATAAGGAATCTAGATAGAGAATTCTAGATAGAGAGAAGAGCTGCCAATCTTGAAATCGTTAAAACAGGAGGAAAATCAGGAGGTTCACGCTGCATGATGATAACCACATCAAAGGAACTCCACACTGACCCTAAGTCAGTTTAAAATACATGGTTCAAGTTACTAAATACATCAGCATTTAATTAGATATTCTAAATTTATTCTTCAGCTAATTTCACTTTCACAATTTTCTTATACTTGTATACCAGGAAAATCCCAAATAAGAAAGAAAAGCTTTTACTTGTTAAAGTACTTGTAAATACATAAATTGTAAATACAATGCATATAAAATTAATAATTAATGTACATAACTTTTGTGCACATAAATTTTGTAACGCATCATTCATTGAAGTAAAGAAAATGAAATACAAATATTAACTGATTAAAAATTTTTTTGAACCTTCAAATGAAAACTAAAAATGTCTACAGTAGATTAAGACCATTCAGATCAAATGAAATTTAATAAGAAAGATCAATAAAATATAATTAAAAAATACAATTCAGATGAAATAAAATTTCATACGCAAAATTATTCTGAATATCATTAGAGGTTAGGGAAAGGAATTTGCATAATTCAAGTTTCATTAATTCAATAAATTTCATTTATTGCTGTAAAATATTTTTCTTTTTTAGAGGCTAAAAATTAAAAATTTGGAGGTTCAGTGATCTACTGGGAGATGTGATGAAAAAATGGGAGAGCTGGCAGGTATGATATAATTATTGACTAAAATACATATAACTCATTTGTAAATTACAGGCCCACCAGCGGCCGAGCGGTAACGTCGCTGAACACTGGTAGTTCGGTCCGAGGTTCGAATCCCGCGAACGGGCTGGCTGCATGGGTGTTTTCATGGTTTTCCCCATGTGTAACGTGTATACGAGCCAGTTTCCCTTAGAAAGCCCTCCATGAAGGCATCCCTCATCTTAGGCAGATAACCCTCGAGGCTTTGCCATATTCACACACACACACACACACATTTGTAAATTACAAATGCAGAGATTTATAATAGCATGCTTTGCAAGCTTAAATTTTGAATTAGATAATCTTTTCCTATAACACACTTCTTCAACTGCCTGCATATTTACTTTTTCAGTGAGAACTTCTCATTAAAAAAGTTTTGGGAATTTAAATATGAAAACAGGGAGTTTGTATATTTAAATTTGGTGGAAATAGTCAGATTTTATTTCTAATCCAAAAGGGTGTCAAAACGGGATTTTGCATGGTCCATTATAAATGGTGAAACATTTTCAAGTTGTTGCTATCAAATACTATCACCCTGTATTATTTCTAAAGAAATCAAATAATGAAGAATCTTCATGTATGTAGGATTAAAAAAACGACGGTACCTAACACCATAATATTTTGAATAACATAGTCCTCCATCCTCTAGGCTTCAAGGTCATTGCATCCTTCTGCCTTACCTTGTTACCATGGTAATAATTGCTGCAGAAGATGCTTCAGCCCTCCAATTTGCTTAAAACACTCAAATTCTGCCTAATAGCACACATTATGGCCATAAATGAGGGAAGGTAGTTATAACTTTGATGTCTGTTTTTAAGTGACAGACTATAAGAAGTAGGAAAGAAAAGATCATTATAGCACTATTCAAATTATTATAATTTGTGTTTGTTCGCCCCAATGTTAAAAATTAAATTAAGGTTCACAAAGGCATATTTTTCTTCAATAAATACATAATTTTAATATTTATACTTTTAGCTATTTTCATAAAAATAAAAATGCTTTTCAATTAGTTTCATAAATTGCTCTGAATTTAGATCTTTCAAAAAAAGCAAAGTGATATCACAAAAACTTTTGTAAAACAAAATATATACGTAAATTAAAACAATAAAACTAATTTGTACCTAATATTGGCTGATTGAGAGACATCTGTTGCATTCCCATGGCAAGATTGTTCATGTTCATAGCATTCACATTTCCACCTACAAGAGATTATTCATTTCAATCAGTGCTTTAAATTTTAAAATAAAAAGAACCTAAAAATACTTTAAAGTATTAAAACTTAATTATATAAGAATTGTTTATTTTTAATATCTATATTAATTTATATGGTAATGCTCTTGAAAAGCTACATAAATGGGGGGGGGAAATCTCAACACTAAGAAGTTGTGCTAGATAAATGGAATTTGTGAGGCATATTTGCCTCCCAAATGATCTGAAAGATGACATCCATTAAAATGTCATGCTAGATGAATAAAGGTGGCACTAGTAGCACCACTATGAATATGCAAATTATATTTGCTTTAAATACTTGCTGTGAACTTTATCTTATGGATCGGGCAATATTAATAAGATTTCAGTCAAGAATGCCTTAAAGGAGACGAAGAAGGCAATATTTATGGCTTATTGAATTTGAATGAGGTATGTAATAGAGCCAGGTGAAGGCCAATTTGCTTTTTGCCGTAATGCAGAAACACTTGGCATGGAAGTATAAAACTGCACAGTGTTGACAGCAGTGGCCATGGGAAGGTACTGTCTCAAGAAGACCGGAGTCCAGCTACAGACTTGTCATCACTCAAAGGGAAGACCACCGTATTTGCCATATGTCTGCAGTGCATCTGCAGCACACATTCAAGCTTTTTTTGGCACCACAATGAACTTCAATATATTGCCTTGGCCTGCAAGATCACCTAAAGTGAGTATGAGACATGACTGAATGGCAAATCTAGCATCATTCACAACCAGCATGGGCCCTTGCTGATTTGATTGATCAAGTATAAAAGGTATGGAACTCCATCCCACAAAATGCCTTCAGCACCTGTACAACACAATTAATGCACATTTGCATTCAACACTGTGGCAACTACAGAAATTATTAATATACCATAATTTTACATTTGAAACGGCTCTTCTCGTACATATTTTAAGATGTCACCTTGAAACATTAATCAAATACATATGCCACCTAGACAAATAATTTGCCTACATTTCACTCCTCTAAACTAATTTCTTCTTGATGTTGGAATTTCACTTTCTATCAATGTACATATCAGAATATGGTATTCATGGTAGATTTTATAAGCAGAAATGCTTTACGTTAATGAAAAATAAAAATCTGCAAGTAACTTGTCCATTTTTTCAGAAATAGAATGCAGAATGAAATTAGTACTACTAATATGACAACCTAGGGTTTTTTACTTTTTACATTCAATCTCCAAAACAGAAATTCAAACTTAGATAATACACGACACTGAATGTTCAAAATAATAACATGAAGAGAAAAAATCATATTTTGTCAGTTTCATCTTAAATATAAAATTCAGATTTCTGTTACAGGGGAAAAAAATCCAAGATTATGTACATAAGAAAAAAATAATTAAATAATTGTTTTTTTTTTTTTTTTTACTTCTCTTCCCAAAAAATCAATAAAAAATTATTTAAAGCAGTAAATGTTGTGAAATTGCAAATAATTTATGATGAATAACAATCAATGCTTATTTTAATTAGTTAATAACTGAGATAATGATAAAGTCCTTTTCAAATATGTACATGAAAAAAACATTTCATGTGCAGATTAACTACTTTTACAATAAATAAATAAATAACAGATACAAACCAGCAAGTTGGTTCATGCTAGGTGCTGGCTGCTTATCATATTTGCTTGCAGGTACTAAATTGTCAACATTAATATTTACAGTGCCTAAAGCATCACTCCATGTGTTTCTAGATGTCTACAACAATAATAAATAACATAAGGTATATTGATATATATTAAAAACACATTACCTATTACATAACTGGGAAATACTGATGTAAAAAATATGACATATACCTGTAAACTCCCAAAGGATGTACGAGCAGGCACTGTTGTTGATGTAGATACAATAGGCAATGAGGAAGGCTAAAAAGAATAATTGTAAATTAAAATATTTAATAAGGATATACCACCATGAAACACAATTAAAAAGTATAATTTCATTGTCTAAAATTTCTTTTTGCAATTAAACATACTTGGGAAAACATGCCACTGCCAACATAATTCACAGGATACATGTTGGCTGGTTGTAAGGTACCAACTTGAGGTTGCATCATCACAGGTTGAGCCAGTGGAGTTCCAAGTGGAATGGTAGGTACTGTTGGCAGCATACCTAATGGTGCACCCAACACTGGTTGATAAACATTTCCTACGGGTGATATCATTGGAGACTGGGAGGCACTGAATGTTGGAGACAGAGGTGATGAGACAGTGACAGCACCAAGAGGTTGAAGTGGGGGAAGACATGGTGACACTGAATTAAAAATGTTTGGTGTTGAACTACTGTTAACATCAACAAAACTTAAAGAATCACTGCTAGTGGTAGAACTGGTTTGAGTCGTTGACATAAAGGAAGTAAAATCTGCAAAACTATCCTGCCTGAAAAATAAAAATTTACACCTGTTTAAATATTGACATAGAAAATTTAAAATTATATTGAATACACTGCTTGTTAGAATTTTTTGTTAGAATGCCAATTCAAAAGCTTTAAATACTTTAAAAGACATTATTTTTCAAACTAGATTCAATGCATACTCTTAACATACATAAACATAAAATGAAATGGGGCAACTTAACACAACTCTTAATAAAGGTCAACTTAATACAAATCTTAATTATGAGTTAAGTCAGTGGTCTCACACTCAAATTGCCTGCAAGCCAAATGCACAATCTAAAAACAGCTGACGGGGCAGATTTCCCCCTAACAATATGAAACATATTTTAACTTTACTAATAATAACACAAAGGGAAAAATCAAATTTATATTTGCTTTCTGCTTAAACTTCTTAAGTTTGGTGCCTGCAAGACATTTTTATTGGTTACACTTAGTAATTCAAATATACTAACAGCTAAATAGTGTACAAAGTCCGAAATTTGGTTGTCCATTATCCGGAATGATCTAAAATCCGGACCTCAAAACCCCCAACAACATTTTCTCGGAGGCTTTACGCATGCACATTTGATTCCCCCCTCCAAGCATAATAAAACATCTGGAGGGTCCCGATTATTAATTTCTCTTCGACACTAAATAAAATACCTTGTTAGTAAAAAAACAATTAATTTACCATAAATTTGTACGATCAGTAAGTCAGCTTCATTGCTGCATACATCTCAAACCGATACGTTCCACATAGGATAAATCGTTGATCTGACGCCATCCTGGCGAATCATTATTTATTATACTTTCCCTTCATCATTGTATGTTTATCAACGCATGACAACTTGAGTAATGACTCATGTAGCGAAGCCTAAACAATTTTTTTTAATGTTAGTAATTGAATAATAAAGGAGTATGGTAACCTTTTATGCTGAAATTAAACTTGGCGATGATTACAGATTTAAGTTAAATGAGCTAAAAAATGTTGATGAGGGAAATTTACCAAAATTTTCTTTCCATATGCTAAAAATAGATTTTGTTGATGATACTCACAGACCCAAAGATTGCATTTAGGGCTATTTGAATTAAGAATAACTGATTTGTTATTCACATAAACCCAGAACCAGCGCCAGGTCTTGTACGGCCGCAGAATTTAAGAACCACAGAGACTGCATCAGGCAGTAAGATATCTAGCGCCGGCCATCAATATGGATTAGGTATATGCAGAAATTTATTTATTCAGAACTCTGATAAGCCTTATGCATGCGCAAGAAATACACATAAGCATAATAAATAACTAACCTAATACATGTCGTTAGTCGCCAAGTTCATGATGCATAGCCAAATATGTATAGTGAAGAATAGATAAATTTGGTGATGATAGCCGCAATTTTAAAGGTTTCCGGATGTCGCAAAACAAAGGTGAAATTTTCCAGTTACCTGATTTTGTAAAGAAATGTGGAGAAGCGGTAATAAAAGAAGATGATATAAAAGAAGTTTTTCATCGTGATGACAGTGCTTATCAATCATCAATCACAGGCTTCATACACATTTCTGCGCATGGAAATTAAGTACATTTAAGGACTTTTAAGGATCATTAATGAAAAAAATTAAGGACCTATGAGCGAATGGGAACTGAATAAATTCAATTAAAATATTATATATCCCTGAACTTCACTTTTGTAATACCATCCTAAAAATAAAATACGATATGTAAGTAGGATGCATTATTATTATATTAAACATGACTTAATTAACATAATTATTAAGTCTGAAAATAAAATATAGGTAATTTATCAAGGATCATTATATATTTTACACTTATAAGAACTGAACATATTTGAAAGGAGATAAGTGACATTTTAGTTACATTTTACCAGCAGTTAGTTTTATGTTTATTTTATTTTATATTTCATTTTGTCACATATTTGCTCAGTCTAGAGTTTTAGTCAATAGTATGCAGATTTTATGTCAAGCGGCATAGGTTAAAATGAGAAGTAAAAAATCATAATCAGCATGATTCACAACAAAAGGCTGTGGCTGTTGTCACTGCTGCTGCTTACCTAGAGAGAGACTATTGATCAGAACAAACCTGAAGGGCCTGATGTAGGCACAGTTGGAGGGGGGGCAACTTCTGAAAGTTAGCTGGGCTCTGTCTGACGTCGTTAATGTCATAGCTTCGTGTACAGTTCCAGGGATTGTGACTCAGTTAATATACTTTAAGGTTCTAAATAAGCCACTAAAGCACCAGAGGTGAAAAGTTGTTTTGCATTATTTTAAGTCTCACTAGATGCGAATAAGTTTTACATGAATTTTACATTTTTGTGTTTCATCTCGTGATTACGGTAAGGGTTAATGAAAGGCAATAACTCGCTTTAATATGCAGAGATAATTTTTAAGGGCAAGCAGTTAGTTTTAAGTAATTAAATTAGGTATGATAACCTTAGTCATTATGGATTTACACGGCCACTATTAAATTTTATTTATTTTTTAACAATATTTGTTAAAAAAGGCCCTATTAAAATAACAATCTAAAAAAATTTCACAGTTTAAAATACATGTAATTTACAACATTGATTCTTAAACGATAATCGGATAATTACACATTAAAAGCTACAAAGCATTTATGTTTTGTAGCAACAAATACTCAACAAAATATTTATGTGTCTTTTTAATTTGAAGACATTTTGGCATGACATTTTGGCTAATTTATATCAATTTCCTTCTCTTTAAGCATCTTTTCTAACAATTAGAAATTTGTCTCAGTACACAAATAAATGTTCTCACTAGTTTCTGCGTGTTTATATTTTCCTAACCTGTCAACCTGTCCACAATGTACCTATGAGGGTTTATTTGATCTGGTAAAAGTTAAATAGTCCAAAACACATCAACAGATAGGAAGCAAATTATCACTATGTCTGAACGTAACTACAATATCCGACAAAGGTTTAAATAAGATTTTCTTTTTTAAAAAGAACTTCAAAAATAAAGGAATGTTCTTATGCTTACAAAATCAATTACAGCTCGTACTGATGTAATGAAACAAGAAGAGTCAAATTCAAACTAAAAATATGGATTAGTGGTCAAAGACTATACAATTTAATTTCATTTTAGGCTGGCTCAAGAACTCTATCATCATAACAAACTCAAATGTTGGCAACGGTAATCCAAGACGAATAATTACAAATTATCAGAGCTGGCAGGAACTAATGCAGGGAGCAAGTGCAGGTCAGAAACACACTCTTGTCTTACACTCCAAAAATCTCGGTTTAAAAACTGTCTAAATGATTTATTTGCATTCTGGTCAGAAAATGGAAATGGGAAATTACAGTAAGGGCTGAAATTGTAAACAATTGGGTAATTTACATAATAATATCTGTACATATCTTTGAAGAACAATTTTGTTTTTCTTTAAGTATTCAGTTTCTTTCTTTCCCCGTTTCCTTTTCATTTTAGAATTTTTGGATTTAATTAAAAATTTCTGATATTCTAAATAAACTAAACGCATTTTGCATAGAAAAAGCTGCTAATTTTATTTCTTTAGTAATATGAACATTCAGAAGAAATATGAAATATATATGGTAAGCTTCAGTTAGACAGCTGATGTGGCATAATTTTTAGAATTTAGTGACACACTGAGCAATAAAGTCTAAAAATGGCAAAACTTTTAGAATTTAGAACAGGCATTGTAAGCAGAATTTAGAAAGGCACCAGGCAGCAGAATTTAAGATCCACAGAGACTGCATCAGATGGGAAAAATGCCTAGTGCCAGCCCTGTGTATGATGCATTAAGATATATTAGATGTATCTTTTAAATTGTCAGTTTTCAATATTTTTATTCATAAAAGAATTCCTTTCTATAATGCCTATCCATATAATAAGAAGCATTTTTGATTTTTCCATGTTTGTGTCTAGTGAAAAGTAGAGAAAATAAAGAGAAGATTAAAATGTTAAGAAAAAGATTCTAGTATCAGAAGTAAAACATTCAACTATAATGTTTTCATTGTTCTTCCAGACATTTTCCAAAACGTAAGAAATTACGCGTTAATACTACGGAGACATTTTTCATTTTGTTACATTTTTCTGGAATCTTCTAGATTAGTGGGTCTATAAATCTTGCCTTCAAATCCTTCTAAACTTTTCAAGCTGCAATGTCTAAAATCCTAAAAAAAATTACCCCTATCAATTCTGTAACAGCATTAAGCAAGAAATATTTTGGGAAAAAAAAAAAAAAATCGGAAGGGAATTGGTGTAAAATTAATTTTATAGAGAAAAACAGGGCTTAATTTCTGAAATTAGATGTGCTGGAAACCCGTGGAACACCGTCAGGAAAGAGGTACAAAAATAAATAAAAATGGGTAGTAAAATCACTAATAATTAAAAAAATAAATATTAATTATTAAAATAATTCAATAATTAATGCTTATAGAAATTAAATAGTTTAAATAAAAATTTAAAATATGAAGGGATACATTAAAATTTAATAAGCGATTTTTAATATAATTTTATTACTAAAAATAAAATTTTCGATATCAAATTTCTACTGAAATTTTGTTCAGGTACAAAAAAGAAGTGTCACAGCTTTCTTATTTAGGGCTCCGAGTAGAATTATGATTTATCCCCAAAATTAAGAAGTACTGGAGCAGGGCTCGGGCGCGATTTAAGCTCTGGAGAAAACTGATGTGTATTTTGAGAATTCTGAATATTTTCAGGCAATAAACTCTTACCATAAAAATATTAAAAATACATTTTTAATTAATTACATAGCTAGTTTGCTTTTGCTAAGAACTGTTTCATAAATGGTGCTTTATAGCATTATACTTTGTTTATTTTCTACACAGAATAAATGACCAAAATGGAAGTTTATAATATCACAGCAAAAATAAAAATGCTTTATTTTAATCTTATCTCATGAATATAATTAAAAAATATTATCATTATTTAAATGAAATTTATCAATGTTACAATGTTTAAAAAAAAAAAAGAACTGCCGAAAAATTCCTAGATCTCGGAATTAAAAATTTTCCATGGAAACAGATCTTAAAATCGCAAAAATGTTGATAAGTCACCAAATTTAGAACAGTTTAATTAAAGAATTCACATTCCAAAAAGCGAAAAGTTGTTTAAGAGCTCTTCATTAGAAAAAATGAAATAATTTTGAAATGCTTATGTTTCACTTCTTGCTCAGAAACTCGAGTATCCCACAATTTATATTAGAAATAGGAAAAAATTATAACTCATGTACCCACTCAAAAGATAACCATATTTATCAGCAAATCGCCAAAAATATTACTCCAAAATTTTAATTCACACTCAAAATGGCAGTCATAAACACAGACAGAAATTTCAGACGGTTAAAATTAAGGACTTCTGACAATTTTGCCGAAATTAAGGACTTTTAAAGACCAAAAATCGATTCCAAAAAACTTAGGACTTTTAAGGACTCTTAAGAACTGTACGAACCCTGAATCAATTAATGAATGGCGAAATTTGTAGTATGATTCTAGATCCAGAAAATACCACTACCGATAGTGAAGAAAATGACAGAGAAGTTGCTGAAAATGAGAAAAATTTGATTGACAAGTTAGTCAGAATTCTTGAAACAGCAGTTACAGGACTTCGGCAATGTAACTAAACAAGAGATTATGTCTGTCTACAGAATTAGAGAGAAAGTATTAGCACAAAAAATGAAGCAACTTAAACAACTTACATTGAAAGAAATGTTTAATAAGGTTAACAAATAAATATTAAGCTTTTTTTTTTTTTTTTTTTTTTGTAAATATTGACACCATTTAGATCATAAATACTTCATTATTTCATAAATCCCGATTTCATATTTTTAATTTTATAATTTCTAGATGCCTTCTTACTGGATTTAAACTAATGATTTAATATCCAGAAAAATCTCAAATCCGGAATCGCCGAGGTCCCGACGAGTCCGACTGTATTAATATTTTAAACCGACATTTCTTAAAAATAATTCTAATTTATATGATTAATCTTTAAAATTAAAAATAAACAAATTGTAAAAACTTTTAAAGAGGCACAAACTTTGAAAATAAATCCTATTTATTTAATTTTTCATCACATAAAATACATATGTTTGTATATAAATAATTATAAATTTTGTATGTAAATATAAATTTTGTTTTCATAATGCCCATGCACTGATGAAAAATTTCTAAAAAATATCTTCATCATGGAGTGTAAATGCTTATCAGTGGGATTCTTTTATTATTAATTTTCAAAAGAATGTGAAAAAAAGTTGTTCACAAACAAACATACTCCCAAACAAAGCGATTATTCGAAGTGCAAAAATTCATAACTGAGCATACTTTTTTCGGACAAGCATGAATGTAAGTTAATAAAATCTGTATATTCAAATCTTTGAATATGATTAATTTCACACTGCAAATTACTTAGCTCCTTTTACAGATTTTCTGGCATGTTATTAACACCTGTTTTTAATACTAATGAAAATAGTGCTAACTCAGACTTCGAATACTTAAGATCTTTAAATCTTTGCAACACCCCATTTGCAACAAATACAAAATTGAAATGCAACTGCGGAACGCAGCTGTCTGCAGGCTACCAGTCTGAGACTACTGCATTAAGCAATGATAGACGTGTAAAAATTATAAATACTACACAGACATCTTAGGCGTCTGGTTGCCTAAATTTTTTTATTTTATTATACTGAGTTTTAATATGTTTTAATATGAGTATTAAATGTAATTGACCACTATGTTAGCTGTAACCGTAATTCCACACTCATTTTGTTTAGCAGAAATCTCGAGAAGCAGAAAGTACCAGAAATATCTGCAGCGGCCTGTTGAAAACTATTTAAAGCCAAAGAGAGATCTGCTTTCAGTTGCTTAGTTATAGTGAGTTGTTTAGTTCCACGTGAACTGAGATATCCAAGCAGCTTTCTCTTTAGATGTGCTTTGCATTGTGTTTTACTAGTTTTGGATATAACTACTGATTATACTACATGATACCGTGAACATTTGCATGAATATCTCTGAGGAAAATTTTAGAGTTCTGATACATTTCTATTGATAAGAATAAATTTAATAATTAACCTATTATCGGACTTGAGCATTGAATTTATTACACACAGCAATATGGTATATCATTACTTATGACCTCTTGCCAGCTTGAAGGAAATTTGAAGATACTTTTTGAAAAAGCCTTGTCCTTATGGAAGAAGAACTGAAGGAGACATCTGCTTTAATTCTGAATTTTTTCATGGAGAGAAAGAGATAATAACCAAAGGATGCTAGGTCTGGGAAGTATGGAGGATGCCACAGTTTCCCAACCAAGCTCTGTGATTTTCTGATAAGTTGCTAAAGCAGCATGTTGTATGGCATTATCATTATGCAGTATGATGTGCTTCCTATTGAACATCTGTGGCCTCTTTTCTTTAACTGCTTTGTTTAAATCATTTATTTGCTGACAGTATCTCTCGATTAAGTTTTTGATTAGTTTCAACAGCTTGTAATAGCTAAATGATTAGTTTCAAAAAGCCTGTAAACTTTTTCTTTAGAGACATCTCACCACATACACAGCATTCTCTTACTCAGAGGCTCAGTTAGAGATGGAGTTGGCAGGTTGTCTGGGTACCCAGTACGCTCTTTTCTTAATGATATTTTCATACATAATCCACTTTTTTATCAAATTATCATCCTGTCCAAGAAGGGTTGGCTTTTGCTCCGAGCAAGCAGAGATGTGCATAAGATGACTTTATCATATAAATTTTTCTCAATTCATGAGGCACCCATCTGGAATATTTATAGACCAATCCTAATATGGTCTGAAATGGTTCATTACGCTTTTCTGCAATCTCTGATGATGCCCACCCCCCTCCCGAAAAAAAAAAAAAGATTTTGCTTTATCGCAGTTCTTGACAGTATTGTTATTAATCAAAGATGGCAGCCCATAATGTGACTTATCATTAAGATCGAAATCACCTGCTTCAAATTTTTCAAAGCATCTCCTGCATGTTCTACCCAAAACTTCACCAAAATTTTGACAGACAACTTCTGTACCATTTCTTTGCAGTTGGAATCCATACAAATTACAATGCTGTACAAGAACTTTATCAGTAGTCTTTAAATGATTGCATCTACATAATAATGGCATGAGACATTTTTGCTTTAGTTTTCGAAGAGCACAGGTGTATAAATGCAGTGATAAAGAGAAACAGCCATGTATATCTCAAATGAATATGTGCATACATGTTGAAAATTGAAATAGCATTATCATACAAAACTTTCCAGAAGATCTTATCTATACAGAATGACAGCTCCTAATTATTACTAAAGCATTTATCTACTTAAAGAATATCAAACAGCTGCTCTAAGAACAGCTCTATATAAACAGAAGATATAGGAACTAAAGAGATATTTTGTTTTCAAAAACAAGAAAAATGAAGTTTACTTTATAAATACTTTTTCAAGAAAATAGCTTAATAGTGCTTAAGAAAAATTAAGTAAAAGCTGCTCATCAAAAATAAAAGTTATTTAAACATACAGATAAGAATTTCAGCATGCATCATTTTATCATTATTTGAGTAGTTTAATTTTTTAATTTATCATTTCACAGAAATAAAAACTCATACAAGGAATTTCATAACAATTCTTGGTACTGACATATGGAGAATATGTAATTAAACCAATTCAATCAGACATAAAATTATAAAATTTCTGGCACTTCTTTCTCTATGCATTCTACTATATAAAATTAACAACATAACACAGGAAATGTACTTGTTCCCTGAAGGTACACATCTAGATCAATTAAAATAATACTCAAAAGGTTTTATAATATTTAATCCAAAACTTTAACAAAATATAACATATCTCTATAATATCATTCCTTAGGAAAAATATTTAATGAAATTATGATTTTTTTAATTTAATAATAATTAAAATTTTGCATATTTATAAACTGAATTAAAATAAAAAACTAAAAATGATTTAAAAAATAAATACTTCATGCATTAAAAATTTACTTTACAACACAAATAGAAAAAAAATATAGAATCATATATATATATATTTCATACTTGGATTCTTCAGCACTTTTAAACTGTGTAAAATCTGCAAAGTCCCCGTTTGCTGAATCTGCAATGGATTAGCAACACATTAATGCAAGCTTCTATTAAAATAATAATAATAAGCTAACAGTTACAGATGTCACAGTTTACAAAATCAAAAAAAAAATATGAATCACTGCCAGAATAAATTTATATACATATGCTTTACAAATACTGTTGCAAATACTTATGCTTACAAATACTGTTTTCTAAATACTCTTGATATAAAATATTTTATGATATAGAAAGTATAAAAGCAGACATATCATTGCATAAAACATGTCTCAATACTGGAATCTTAATCAAAACAATTTAATTTTTTAATTATTATATTAAAAAAAATTAAAATGTTGGTTAATATGTTGACTAAAAAGATTATTTTTAAAAGAGTTCAAAATTTTATAAATTCTCACATTCCATACAGTAATAACTATAAGATCCCACTGTATCTAGTGCATTCTCATACATTCATTTCATTTAGCATTATTATTTACATATTTACACATTATACTTGCAGAAAGCCTTACTAAAGATAAAGTAGACAAATGTAATAATGGTAGTATGTACACCTTGCACAAAAAAAAAGGGAGACAGTTCTATATTTTTTGTTCTAAAGGACTGCTTGTCTAAATTTAACTTGCTATTTTCATGTCTTGAAAGCGTGACTTACGATATATATTAAATTTATATATAGCATTGTTCTAACATAGGTATTTTTACACAAATAGGACATTTTCTGAAAAAAAAATCAATTTTTTTCCATACTTCAATTTTAAGATTAAAATTACGCCAGAGTGCCAAGTTTTGTAAAATTCGCATGAGTAGTTTTTAAAAAATTGGCTCTCAAAATTTTAGCTCCTCCATACTTGACATTGGTACATGTTTATTAATCTCTTTTTTTTTATCCTATTTGATTTTTCCTTTCACATTTCCAAATGCAAGTTCATTCCAAATAAAATTCCCCTATTTTTTATGATTTATTTTTAAAATGTGTGTTTTTAAATAATTTCTATAAATTTTTTGAAAAAATTTTGAATTTTAGCCTATAAAATTTTTAGCATCAACTTATAGTAGATGTATTTCTAAGTATATTTGCAAAAAATTAGTTTTCATTCAAAATTTTATAAGATATATGTGAATTTACATGTTAGCATATTTGTTTGGAAAAAAAAAAAAAGGGTTGCTATAAATTAAGGAAAATAGGTTAGAAGAAGAAAATATAGGTTGGAAACAGAAGGGAAAATAGGTTGCTATAAATCTTGGTGCAAACTGAAAAAAATGTGCCAAGATAAGTTCTTAAATTTCTGCAAAAATTTCTCACCAAAAATTTAAAAAATTTAATATCTAGGCATAATTTGAGTCCTAGAATTGAAATATGGAAAAAAAATTGGAATGGTATTTCAGAAAAGTCCGAGTTTCTGTAAAAATCGTTAGAACTATGCTAAATATAAGTCTAATGTATATCCTAAGTCACACTTTCGGGACATGGAAAATGCAAGTCGAATTTCGACAATCAGTCCAGTGGAACGGGAGATATAGAACTGTCTCATTTTTATTCTGCAAGGTGTACCTTTGGAGACACCAAATATATTACATTACAGGTACGGTGTTGGTAATGGCATCACTACTTCAACCAACAAAATGCAAAAGAAAAGAAAAGAAAAAGACTGGCATCATGTAATGTGATGTTCTGTTTCTGCGATGAAAAAAACTAAGAGACATCTGGCATAGGGCAATTAAACTCTGATGTGTATTCTCACCCAATTTGTATATGTGCATTAATTAAATGTTTTGTTTCAGTGTTAAGCTGTATTAAGTATTCCATCCAAGATCTCTGTTAATTTATCAGGTAGATGATGATTTCTTACGAATTCAATTTCTGAGCTAGCCATTGTTTTGCAATAAAACACAATTGTACATTGTACAGGATAAAGCAAGGCTGGCACTTGTGTATTCCTGTACACAACCTATTTAATAATGTTACTTAAATAGAACTTCTCCATCAGTAACAGAGTATCAGTATCAGAGTGTTAACATGTTCATGAACATACTGCCAAGTAACTACAGAAAAGAGATAACTTCCACCATTTGATGAGAATGAAATACAACAAGCAACAAGAAATACAACAAGCTAAAATATTCATTCATTCCATAAATAATGCAGCCTTTTTATGTTTTTTTAATTTTTTAAAAATACGATTAAAAAGTTCTTTTTAATGTAAAAGAACTTCGCTTATTCTCAATTAGTTTTTGACAGTTTTGTTCTGCCAGGGTTTGACATCCTCATCGAACTGTACAGATCTTCCAAGAAGAAGCTCACATTCTAGGCTGTAGTTTCCAACTTAAAATTTCTGAAACCACTGCTGACACTACTTGTGCTTATTATCTTGTGCCATATACTGCATTGATAGATGTACTAATCATTATTTAATTGAACTCATTAAACAAAATATGCAGAACATGTTCCTTTCTAAAACAATAATTCAGGAGCTATTAAAATTGAAACATTTTGCACAAATACATTAAATTATTCCATATTTAAGTTTTTCTGAGGAGAATGGAATATTTTGAGTTGACAACAAAATTTCTTACTCTTTATTATGTCACAAAACCATAAAAATATTATACCTCTATCAAAATATGACATGTTTAATTTCAGAGAATTATACAGATCACTACTGTTCTACGTTTATACAAACTATACATGCAATGTTTATACAAGCTACAAACTGTAAATGGAATATATTTATTTATGAACACAGGAAAGGATGCAAATAATACTATCTCATACATTAAATTTCATAAAATAAATACAATAATATGATATAGCATCTGGGACTATATCAAGCATAGGATTGGATTAAGTATTTAGTTATTCAATATGTTCAGCCACACTGATTAGGGCACAGCATGTCCTGCTCCACTACCCTCTAAACCAGGGGTTCTTAACCCCATGCCCGCAGGCACCAATGTGCATGAGATTGTCCGCTATATACTATATGCAATGCCAAAAATGACATTAAATGCAACTATTTTGAATTTTTTGTTACCTTTTTAATGTAGGGTATTGTTTATGATGCTTATGATTGCAATAAAACAAAGAAATATTAAGAATTGTTATACTTTTTTTTTTTTTACTGCTCCCACCAGTATTTAATTTCCTGTTTGTTGGATGTGCCCAGACGGGGAATAAGGTTAAGAACCCCTGCTCTAAACCTACATATTATGCAGAAGAAAGGCTTAAAAAGCCACCATTTTGTGACATCAGAAATTTTTGTTAACTGCCACCAGTCCTACATTTACCGGTAACAGCATTATATGTTCTCACTTCCCTACCAGGCCCACAGGCTCACCACTCCTGGTTCTTGGTCTCGTTGCATCTTCCAGTACTATGTGGGCAGGCCCGCACTGAAGTGTTTGCATGGAACTCGGATCGAGCCCCTAGCCATGACTACTATGGATACCTCAGTTTGGGGACTTACAGCCAATCCCCCCTTGGTAGAACTGTATTGAACGATATTCTCTCAGGGTTCTGAAAAACTGGCAGAATTGTGCTTTTGTTCCTCTACAGTGCTACTATGCCATTTGACATAAAATCCATTTATCTACTGCCATAATAAAATACTAAGTCAGTGTATACAACCCAGGAAGTAGGATTGAAGTAAAAGAAACATTTTCAATGTATAAATCTCAAGAAAATATTGCAGCTGAATTGTATTTAAAAGTTCAAAAAGCAGAGAATTATATTTTGCAACATAATAGTGGTATTACCTGAAGCTAAAAAGAGGGGAGGCATACAATGCAGCGTAGACTGTTTATATAAGTTGTATTAATTTAATACCATGCATATATTAATTAAAAATAGTCACATCTTGAATTTCTTCAACCCTTTGTGACTCAAAAATCAAAATCATATTAATTTCAAAGCCACAATACTATGCATTTATGGTGTATTTTTTCCTCCAGTTTTCAGGTTTTTCTACGATAGATATGCATGTGTGTGATTTTATTATTCAGACTGCAATTAAACATATACATGCAAATTATTCAACTTTTTACATGAAATTTGTACAGAGATAAGCAATTATCTTCCCTTATGCTCTAAAATAATAAAAATTGCTTATCAGTTTTGGAGTTTGTAACATATTAGCTCTTCTGTACATGTATAAAAATACTTGATTATCAAATATTCCCTGATCTTACCTGTTGCATTACTAGTAGGTGTTATTGTTAAACTGGAAAATAAATCATCATCTGTGGAATTCTTCTTTGGAGATGTGTCAATTAATGAAACAGGCTTTTCAGGCGTAGAATGCTAAAAGGAACAAAAAATATACTTGATTCCAAATGAAAAAATTTTATAATCGAAAACCGAAAATATATTAAATTATTAGAAGGAGACATATAATTCAAAATAAAAAGTTCCATTATTAAATAGTTATGGAAGATAAAGAATACGTAAAATGAAATCTTGACATTAATAGCCACTAAGTCTCCTGTTTAATTTGGTTATTCCACCCTCCCTTTTCTATTTTAAAAATAGTCACATGCTTACAAAAAGTTTCTGTGAACTGCATCATTTCAAAATCAATCCTTGTTGTGATTCGCATACAATCTTCAAGATGCATGTACTTAACAGAACACAGAAAGTCTTTTAATCAATAATATTATAAAACTTTCCAAACTAGAATTTAATGAACTAATCAAAATAAGTGTTGAACAGAATAGCAGAACAATAACTTCAGCATACCTGATCTTGATTTATTGTTATGTGCATATTTATTCTCTTGGTTGCTGTGGTATTAAAATGTGTTTCGATCACTATATATAATTCAGTGAATACGTGATTTAAAAAATGGTGTCTGTACTGCTTCAGGAATGTCTGTCAGCAAGAAATAAATATGTCAAACCAGGTATGATTGCTGCTGTATTTTTAAGCAAGTGCCCCCTCATCATTCCTCTATGTCAGGGGTGGCCAACAAGTCGATCACGAGATTAATTTTGGTCGATCGTTGATCGCTCGCAATAACTGGAGTGGAATTTCGTGTACAATGGACATTGAAGCAATTGTAGAAGACAAAACCTTTTAGCAATAGTTTAATGCATCCTACGAATTTGTAGAGGTCATAAATTCCTAGAATTCTGACAGTCTGACACTGTGATCTCTGTCCATCCAGCACAATACATTGTTCCTTATGTTTTACACTTGTTACCGGACGCAATGCTTGAAAGCAGCTGTTAGAGCTCGACTCATTGAAGAACACAGTCAGTTAGCTTGGATATTTGGTAGTGTCATGCAGCAGCTTCTTTTCTTTTGTATTAACAGTATTATTATTAATCAATATTATTTATCACTTTGGTTTCAATTCTTCTTCTGTTTCAAACAAAAGTACCTTTAGTTTGTTTTAAATCAAAACACTTTTCTTCCGGGGTTCGTACGCATTTCTGCACATGGAAATTAAGTATTTTTAAGGACTTTTAAAGACCATTAGTGAAAAAAATTAACGACCTATGAGCAAATGGGAACTGAATAAATTCAATTAAAAATATTATTCTATGGCTGAATTTCACTTTTGTAATACCATCCTAAAATTAAAATAGATCCCTAAGTAGTATGCATTATTACTAAACATGAATTAACTAACATTATTATTAATAAGTTTGAGAATAAAATAAACTTTAAGCAATTTATCAAGTAGCATTAAATACTTTACACTTATAATAGTTGGTCATATTTGAAAGAAGATAAGTGACATTTACGTTTTACTAACAGTTAGCTTTATGTTGATTTTTTTATGTCTCATTTTGTCACACACTTGGTCAGTCTAGAGGTTTAGTAAATAGCAGGTAGATTTTATGTCAAATGGCATAGACTAAAACGAGAAGTAAGATCATAATCATTATGATTTATAACAAAAGACTGATTGTTTGTCACTGCTGCTGCTTGTTTACAGAGAGACCTGCTGATTAGAAAAACCAGAAAGGCCTGTAGTAGGCACGGTTGGCAAGTGTTGAAAGTTAGTCAAGCTCTGCTTAATGCAGTCAATGCCATAGCTTTGTGTAGAGTTCAGGGGGTTGTAACCCAGTTAATATACTTTAAGGTTCCAATAAGCCATTAAAGCCCCAGAGGTGATGAGTTGTTTCATATATACAGGGTGTTTCATAGATCATGGGACAAACTTGGAGGGGTGGTGGAGCATACTAAAACATGCATTTTTTGTATAGGAATGTAGGGTCTACAGTGACAGGTTAAGGCAGGAACGCAAAAAAACGACATGAGAGGAAAATGTGTTTATGTACAAAATCAATGCAAAGTGCTTCTTTGCAGCAATACAGTATTCACAATAAATGTTCAAAAAAGGGAACACTAAGAGTAATAAGAACTACAACTGTGATTGGTTGGCAATGCAGCGGTAGTGTGCCGGACAAACCATGATCTGATGCATCAGAGGACTGCTCAACTCTGCTGTCCAGAGTGATGGGTGAGTTTAAGCACAGGGAAAAAGCTGACATGCATCTCATGCTGCTAATGGGAAAGGCAGAGCAGCACTACGGTTGTACCAGGAACGGTTTCCGAACAGGCGTATGCCGCAGCACACAATGCTCGAGAGGTTGCATCGGTCTTTGTGCGAAAACGGGTCATTTGAAGCCACCTCTGACATTAGGAGTGGAAGAAGAAGTGCACAACAACCTCGCATTGAAAAATCCATCATGAACATTGTGCTTGAAATACCTCAGATAAGCAAAAGAGTTATTGCAAGTCGTCTGCAGCTGGGTCATTTCACCGTTTGGAGAGTATTGCATGAAAATGGTTTGCACCCATACCAATTGCAGAGAGTTCAAGCCTTGCAAGAGACAGATTACCCTCTTCGAGTTTATTTCTGTCATTGGTTCTTGCAGCAGTGTGCGGCACAGGCGGATTTCCCATCGGATGTGCTATTCACGGATGAGGCAACTTTCTCATAGGACGGCATCTTCAATAGCCACATGCACATGTGGGCAACTCATAATCCACACGTCCACATGCATTCCAAACCCACTTCTCCATGAATGTGTGGGCAGGTATTGTTAACGACTACCTCATAGGCCCATATGTCTTACCTGCATGTACAAATGGCTTATGTTATATTTTTATGCAAGTGGTGCTACCGGAATTGCTGCAGGATGTTCCAGCTGTCGTTCGTAATCGCATGTGGTTCCAGCATGATGGTGCAACAGCCCATAACTATGTGCGGGTCTGCAATTACTTGGAAGGAACATTTCCGAGCCAACGGATTGGCCATGATGGACCCGTTCGACGGTCACCCCATTCGCCATATTTATCCAGCTTGGACCTTTTTTTTTTATGGGGCCATCTGAAGGGCATCATTTACGAGACTTCTGTTGATTCACTGGAGGACCTCATTGCATGACTATCCATTGTGGCTGCAAGCGTGCACGAAATGCCTGTCTTTTTTCAAAATGTTCGTCAATCCCTTCTGTGACGTTACCAAGCATGTATTACTGCTGGTGGTCATAATTTTGAACATTTATTGTGAATACTGTATTGCTACAAAGAAACACTTTGTGTTGATTTTGTGCATAAACACATTTTCCTCACGTGTCATTTTCTTGCGTTCCTGACTTAAAAAGTCACTTTAGACCTTACATTCCTATGAAAAAAATGCATGTTTTAGAATGCTCCACCACCCCTCCAAGTTTGTCCCATGGTCTATGAAACACCCTGTATTATTCTAAGTCTCAATAGATGCAAAGAATAAGTTTTACTTGAATTTTCACATTTTTGTGTTTTATCTTGTGACCACAGTGAGTATTAATGAAAGGCAATAACTCACTTTAATATGTAGAGATAATTTTTAAGTAGTTATAAATAATTAAATTAGGTAATTAGATAACCATAGTCATGATGGATTTACATGGCCACTATTAAATTTTATTATTTAACAATATTTGTTAAAAAAAAAAAAAAGCCTTATTAAAATCAAAATCTAATAAAATTTCGCATTTAAATTCGCATGTAATTTACGACATGGATACTTAAACGATATTAGGATAATTGCACATTAAAAGCTACAAAGCATTTATGTTTTGTAACAACAACACTCAACAAAATATTTATCCGTCATTTTGATTTTAAGCCTATAAGGTTTTTCTCCCACCTTCTTGGCGAGCCTTCGTGGTGTAGTGGTTTGCACACTGGGCCGGTATTCCAGAGGTCCGCTGTTCGATTCCCAGTGAAGGCGTTGTTAATTTTTTATCTTTCCTGCTTTAAAAAATACCTAATGTCTCTACAAGCCTTCGCAAACATTTTGGCTAGTTTACATCGATTTCCTTCTCTTTAAGCATCTTTTCTAACAATTACAGATTTGTTTCAATATGCAAACGAATGCTCTTGCTAGTTTCTGCATGCTTTATCTCCTAACTTGTCAACCTCTCCACAATGTACCTATGAGAGTTTAATTGATCTGGTAAAAGTTAAATAGTTCAATACACCCGACAGACGTGAAGCATATTATCTCTATGTTTGAAATTAACAACAATATCAGACAAAGGTTTAAATAACAAGAACAGTCAAATTCAAACTAATTATGTGGACTAGCGGTTCAAAGATTATACAATTTAATTTTAATTTAATCTGGCTCAATAACTATATCATATGAGGAAATAGAAATGGGAAATTACAGCAAAGGCTGAAATCATAAACAATTGGGTAATTTACATAATAATAACTGCATATATCTTTATCTAAAAATAATTTTCTTAAGTTATTCTTATTCAGTTTCTTTCTTCAAAATGCTTCCTTTTCATTTTAGAATTTAATTCAGGATTTCTGTTATTCTAAAAAACACTAAATGCATTTAGAATGTACAGAAAATGTGGCTAATTTTATATTTCTTTAGTAATATGAACATTCAGAATAAATATGAAATACATATAGCAAAGGCCGGCTACAGAGCTGATGTGTCAGAATTTCTAGAATTTAGTAACACACTGAGCAATAAAGTCTAGAAATGGCAAAACTTTTAGAATTTAGAACAGGCATTGTAAGCAGAATTTAGAAAGGCACCAGGCAGCAGAATTTAAGATCCACAGAGACTGCATCAGATGGGAAAAGGCCTAGTGCCAGCCCTGTGTATGATGCATTAAGATATATTAGATGTATCTTTTAAATTGTCAGTTTTCAATATCTTTATTAATAAACGAATTCCTTTCTATAATGCCTATTCATATAATAAGTAGCAATTTTGATTTTTCCATGTTTGTGTCTAGTGAAAAGTAGAGAAAATAAAGAGAAGATTAAAATGTTAAGAAAAAGATTCTAGTATCAGAAGTAAAACATTCAACTATAATGTTTTCATTGTTCTTTCAGACATTCTCCAAAACGTAAGAAATTATGTGTTGATACCATGGAGACATTTTTCATTTTGTCACATATTTCTCGAATCTTCTAGAATCGTGAGTCTATAAATCTTGCCTTCAAATCCTTCTAAACTTTCCAAGCTGCAATGTCTAAAATTCTAAAGAAAAATTATCCCTACCATTTCTGTAACAGCAAAAAGACAGAAATATTTTGGAAAAAAAAAGGGGGAGGAAAAAAGTATAAAATTAATTTTATAGAGAAAACTGATGCCCATTCTGAGAATTTTGAATAATCTGAGACAATTACATGGGAAAAATTCTTACTATGAAAAAATTAAAAACAAGACATTTTTAATTAATTACATAGCTAATTTTGCTTTTGCTAAGAGCTGTTTCGTAAATTGTGCTTTACAGCATAACACCTTGTTTATTTTTCAGATTCAAAATGAATCTTTATAATATGACAGTGAAATTAATGTTCTTTTTTAAATATAATGTCAATATATTACCGTTATTTTAATGATATTTTTCAATGCATTAATGTTGGTATGCTGTATTAATAACAATTTTAAGTGACATTATTTAAAATTTCATTAGAATCACCTTCTATAAAGGAAGCCCCAATTTAAATTTTGTCTAGGGCCCACCAGAGGCTTAATCCAGGACTGATAATCACGCATTTAAAAATATGATCTACAAGGATCTGAGATGCTAACATTTAACCATTATATAGTATGACCGAGTTCAGAATTCTTTAAAAGATTTCTATTTTATTTGATTTAAAACTATTTTAAGAAACAAAATAGAAATATTTTTATTTAATGATAGAACAAAAAAAAATCCATTTTTATTCAAAGAACACAAATCAGATTAACACTTATGAATAACAGATGTCAACTTACAATTGAGCTTTGGTCTTTTCCAAAGTTAGCAGCTGCTCCCAAGTCAATTTTGCGATTGCTCTTGTTAGCAGTTTTATTCTCATTGCGGCTATTCACTTTTAAATTCTTTATGTCCCCTTCCTCATCATCTTTATATTCTAAACGATCATCATTTTCTGATTTGCGATCTTCATCATTACTAAAAAACAGAACCATTTAAAAACTACTTAAATGATCATAATTTGGAAAGAAACAAAGCAAAATGTTTAACTAATTAACTTAATAATAATTAAGAAAATAATTAAATACCTATGCTCTGGTGAATCTTCAAAACTCCTACTTCTCTCAAAATCAGACTTTATTGCTTCATGAAATGAGTTTAGAGAGCTGCCTAACTTACTGCTATTATATTTCCCACTAGAGGAGATAAAAATTCAAATGTAAAAATTCTAAACATAATATGCAATAGAGATTAATAAGTTTAAATAAGTTTTGTCTCATGCTCAAAGAATAAGTTCTTAGAAGTTTATTCCTCACACTAACAAGCTATAATTTTAAAAAGCTAATAATGGTTGAAGGCCATTTTCAGCTGAAAAAAATCAGTAAATCCTAATGGCACTCCCGCTTAAAACTGTACTTCCTCCTAAAGGGAGGAAGATTTCTTAAAAACCTCAATACCAGATTTAATTGCAGAAGGAAAAAGAAGAAAAAAGAATATAACCTGAATTTTCTTACTGTATTATTTATTCTCAATACTTTTAAAAAATTGTATAACTTACCTAAAGCCTAATGATTCAGATGACATCCCAACATATTTATCCTTAGCTTTCTTTGCTTTTTTCCGTTCTTCTCTTAATTTGTCATCATCTTGAATAAATTCAATAAGGTCTCTAGTCCTCTGACGAACTGTGAATAAAGGTGCCACATATATTAAAGATACAGCAACAAAAAAGTCTTAAATTATCAAGTTTCTGTCACTTATGATTATTTATCTCTCATCTAAAATTAACGATATATGTGGCTTTGTGTGCTAAATCTAAAACTCTTAAATTTAAAAATTATGTAATTAATAAAAAATATCCTTACCATTTATACCTTGATCTCTTCCAAATTCATCAATGTGAGTATAATTTTCTAAACTGCGCAAATCATAAATATGTTCTCTAGCACTTGTGACAACCCTTTCTGAACCATTCCTCACTAAATAACCTAATAATAATAAAGACTGGAGAAAAAAATATATATGAGTACAAAAATAAGATGATAAATAATTTAGAAACATGTTCAACTTTTAAAATCAAAAATAAATTTGATATTATTTTAACTAGAATTTAAACGAAAACTGAAAAAAACATAGCAGATTGTTCAATGAATTTAATATAAAAAGGAGAAGCATGTAGACTTTAATTTTTACTTCACTGCTTTAAAGCAATCAATGTGTTTTACAAATACTTCCATTTTGTGAAGTTTGGCAAGTAATTGTTTACAAAAGTCTGAAAGTGCAAAATTCATAGGAAACTAAATGTTTTCCTCAATAATTTTGTTAAGAATGATAAAACAGCAAGATTATTTTTCTCACGTGGCCATTTCATATTCCCTTTACTACAATTTAGGCATAAATTTACAGGTACATAAATAACAATTTATATTAATTTTAACTATTTTAATAAAGTTATAACAATTCTATTAATCATTGGGTTTAACTTTATAACATCTAATTTTCACAGGTAAACAGTTCAAGCAATATTTAAAAAGTTAAGAAATAACTCTAAGGGTTAAAAAAAAATTACTTATGTAATTTATCCTCAGAACTTCAATAAGAGTCAATCAACATAGTTAAATTTTTAACTTTCATAATGAAAGTATAAATTTCTAAAATATAAATGAATATACTGTAAGTCAAATATGCACTGCCAAATACTTTTAAACACCTTCATAATACTGGACATACGGATATCTATAAATCAAGGACTGTTATTTAACAAAAATCATATCAGTGGACTGTCCCTTACATTTATTAATTGTTAAGCGATACAGAAAGTAGGACTGAAAAATATGTCAGGTCAGCACCTGTAATAGTGCAATTATACTGGAATGATATACTAAAAAGAATCACATGACGAGTAATCAAACATCAGAATTTCACATAATGTTACCTTAAGCAAATTTTGACATATAAATGTATTAATTCATAGTGAAAAGTTTTTTTTTTTTCTTTTCTTTCCCCAACCTAGGATTAATTATATTCAAGACAAAAGTTCTTTTTTTATTATTAAAAGATTTTATGCTTGCTTAAACTAAGTAATTTAAAATTGCTGGAGGTATGAAGTTTAAAAAGATAAAAGAACTCATTTTCCATGCATGAAAATAAAAAAATGATTTGTGGATTTACACTAATTATTAGCAAAATTATGATGATTTAAAAAATTTTAATCTGAAATACATAAATGCAAAGAGAAACAATATACATTACACAAATGATAAAAAATGTGATTTAAAAAAATGGAAAATAATTTCATTAAAAAATATAATTCTTTTTTCATTGAAAGAAAATTCAATTATTGACTCAAATCTTACACACACATGGAAAAAAAAAAAAAAAAAACGTTCTATATAAATGTTTTCATTTTTTGTATTTTTTGAATTGAATTCAAAAATTCTATTATTTTTTTTAATTGAAGATTCTCAGCAATGTTTCCTAATTAATAATAACATAATATACTACAGCAATTTTATTATGGCAAATACTAATATACGGTTTTATTACATTATAAAAGACTGCTCTGATGACTATAGATCAATCGATTAGTCTTTTTTTTTTTTAGAATTATGCTAATGAATGTAGAGAAGCAATTATTTACTCTTTTTGGTCTTCTATGCAGAAAAATGTTTTCTTAAATGCTAATATTGTTTGCTAAAAATAACTAAAAGGATCACATTACAGTAAAATGTTCCTAAATCTCTACATTTTCAACTTAAATTTTAAATGAAAAATAAATAAAATTCAGCTAGAGATAAAGCTGCCAAATGCTATCCAGTATTATGTTATCTGTGCATACACAAGACACAATATTTTTAGGAATTTTTTATATGCATAATTAAATATTTTTATATGCATAATTAAATTTTTTATATGCATAATTAAAATTCAATTAAAAAAATAACAAATTTATCCATTTTTTAATTTAATAAAACCTACTAAATTTTAACTTAAAAAGCATTAAAGAATTTCTTAAAACTACATAAAGTTCAATCCAAAAATGACAAACCTTATATATTCTACGCCAATTTCTTTTATCATGCAGCATCCGCTTCCATAACATGCCCATTACCTCAGGAAAATGTTCATACGTAAAAGTACTTTGGGCTATTTCTTGCATTAACTGTCCAGTAGGGCCCCATGCATCATCATTAGTTGCTTCTCGAACTTTTGCTTCAACTTCTGTATAGTTCATAACCACATTGGTACTGTCATGAAAAAGATTTTAAAAAATTATGAAACTTTTGAGAAGCTCATTTATTCATTAGAATGAAATTAATTAATTAAAGTAATTTAGTTATCAATTTTAAGTTCCTAGAAGTTAACCCTTCGACAGTTGCGAGATTCAGCAGTTCTTTCTTCCCAAATATGCACGTATCTGTCGTATATAAAATAGCAACACGAGCTTGTTCATTTTTGCCCTCTTGGGTGCATAATCAGAATGTGAGCCGAGCTCTGAATTTTCCCGTTTCTAAATTTTAAATATAATTAAAAGGAATAAAATCATCGGAAATCAATTCCTTATTATAAAATATGCCTCTGCAGATTGTGTTTTCCAAACTAACTGTAGAAAGATTAAGCAAATAATTCAATTGTAAACTAGTAGTAGAAAGCTCAAGCAAGATCAATAAACCTGAAATAATATTAAATATACTTGAAAATAATTATAAAACTAGAAATTTCACATAGACATTTCTATAAAGTATACCAATCCTGAAAAATCATTATTGACAGCAGATAAAATATGGCCAAGAAGTACTAGAAATCTATCCGTCACTAAATAATAACCATGCAGAAAAACATTTACAATAAAGAAAAGAAAGTACAAAAGAAGGAAGGGGGAAATCTAAAATTTCTAAGATTGGTATTTCCTTTTCAACATGGGCCACCATAAGTGCTTTGGTGAAATTTTACAACTTTAAAATTAATTTGGTCAAACCTAGGCATGGCAATCTTCAAAAACTGAAAAACTATAATGTACAAGTGAAAATAACATTTATTTATCTTTCTGAAGGCCATAATTCTGCAAATGCTGCTATTATAATGGTCTTCAGCCCTGAAGTATATGAAGCACAAAGCAGTTAAGAAAATGAATCCTGAAACCATGAAACAAATCAACATGCAGACTTCCTTCTTCATTTTTTAACTTGCATATTCAAATGTCCTCCCAATATAATGTTGACCATTTTTGCACTTTCACTCAGTATGAAAAATTCTGAACTCTTGAGGGGGGGGGACTTTTCCTCTAATTGATGTTTTAAGTTAAATAGAGTTAACAGTTTAGAGGAAAAAGAACAGAAAAGTATACAAAAGAATGAACAATATCACAAAGAATTACTGCTCAGTTTTCATTTGTCAGCAAGTTAGAAATGTCCAATATTTTTTAAAAAGAAGTGTAATGAAGGAAATATATGCAGTCTAAAGTGAGCATGAAAATCAAATATATAGCACCTTATAAATATCATGTACAAATTACAATTTCTTTTCCACCTGATTATAAATTAGAAATGGTAAACATTTCAGAGGAAAAAATATTGAATTGATGACATCAGGTGAACAACTTCATAATCAAAACACTTTCAAAATAAAACTCATTACACATTAAAAAGCCACTAATTCAGTTTGCCAATTCTGACGACTGAGGTGGCTATTCTAACAAGGAAGTACTTATGCATAAATAAGTACCAGTTTCATAAATTAAAAAATGTAGCCTTGTTTTGGTAATAATTTCAATAAAAATTAAGCTTAGTATGTTTCAAGATAAAAACATAAACTTTGGTAGGAAATAGAAACTTTGAAAGGGATGAAATCAGGCGATGCAACAATGCCCATTTATTTTCTCTAAGAAAAATTAATGGCAAAATAAGATTCATTTAAGCAGTTTACTAATGTCACAGCCTGTATACTGTACCAACTATGCAGGAGATTAGATCCAAATATATTCATGCTGATAGATCCAAATATATTCATGCTGATAATGACAAAACAGATAACCTACGAAAGCTATGATGACTATGAAAACAATCACACATACCATACAGAAGAAAAAAAAAATCATGCAATCTGAAAATTTCAGATTATAATCTTTGCATTTTGAAGAGTTTAAACTTATATAGTCAGGTCGATAATGACAAAAGACAGCCATGACTTCACTCAGGCTTCTATCCAAGAGAAAAAAAAAAAAAAACTTGCAATACAAAAATTTCAGATTATAATCTTTGCACTTGAAAAGATTAAAGTTTCAAACGTTAAAAACATTCAAACATTCATATAATATAAAAATCACACATTTTTAAAATTTGAATTCAAAACTTCGCATTGTTTAATAATAATCAATTTTAAGCTACACAGTTACAATTAGAATGTTAATTTAAGAATTAATCCTATGGAAATTGAAGTAGAACATAAAACTATATATTTAAAATAGCAAAGTCAAAAAGCAGGGGGAAAAATTGGGTACTTTCTTACTACTACAGTGCCCATTTTGTAAAAGAGCAAAAAGATTCTCGGTAAAAAGCCATTTTCAAATAGTCGTCATTCCTAATGACCTTCATGTATACTTTGCTTTTGAAGAAAAGAACGCCAAGTAAATCGCTCCTCCATGCAGGACCAACGATTTCACAGAAGCCCCATAAAGATACGACGGTTGTGTCACGATAAGCACCCGCATGTAGACATTTAGCAAGTCCAGAAAATCCACGGCAGTTAATTTTTCAGGCAAAGTCCTTTCTATCTTTACTTTATCTAACACAAGTTTCTGTCTATTCTAACAGCGTTTCTTAACAGTCTTTTGATTCTTCTTTGCTTAATTTTAAGTAGTTCCTAACAGGATACTCTTTCCCCGTACAACAACATCCAAGCTTATATGTAGACTATATGAGGCTCTTAGCCGTCTATTCGGCTGCGTTCCCGGAGCAGGATGGAGCAGAGAGTAGATGGTTTCTGCCAGGAAGATAACACACTGTGAGGCTAAGGCCAGGTCAGTGGTCTTCCTTGGTGGCGCTCACTCACTCACTTCTCCCATCACCTTGTGGCTGCCTTTCCCCCCCCCCCATGATTGTTTTTAATAACAGCATCAAAAGCTTTTTTCTTGTCTTAAAGACTTTCACTGCGTGAATTCTGCAGGATGAACTCTGCCGAATTTTAGGTTCTGTCACTTAGCAGAGGACTTCAGTCTTTCAACATTTTTGTGTGTGAGCAGCTATTGTTGAATTAACAAAATGAGATGTATGATATCTAACCTCTTGTCTGATTAAATACCCCTAACCTACTTTTTCCAATGCCTGTGTTTTATACATTGGCCAACATTCTAAATAAATATTCAAACCCTCTTGTACACATTGACAATTTTTGCCATGGGTATGTTGCCTCTCTATGCAGAATCTGAGCTAGAAAGAATTCACCAGTTTCTTGTCATAACTCACCAAATATCCAGTATTCTTGTAGAACCTCTCCAACTTTATTTTTTCTCTATATGAACAGATTTTGATTTATGTCCACAATATCTTCAAGAATATCTATTTGCTTATTTGGTTGTTGAATTACATTTAGAGAACATAAAACTCATAAAATTGTTCAGTCAATAATAGCATTTTTATAAAGCCTGAGTTACTTTTCCCACTATTTAATTTACATTAGTTCCTCTACCCAAAAAAATTGCTGCACTATTGCTGACAGTGTTCTGAAACCACTGAACTAGGTATCAAATTGTATATTTTACCTACATTTTCAACTTTTCACATTGCATCTCCAAATGTTTTTATTGATATGTAGTTTTATTTAATGCTTATTTTCACATATTTAAATGGGAGATAAAATGTGTCTTTCTTAGAAGAGAGATATAACATCATCCTTACTTTGTGGCAAATTAAGTATCTTAAAAATTTAAAAAAAAAAAAAAAAAAAAAAAAAAAAAAAAAGTATATTAATACATGATTCTTAGAGCTTTTTTTAAAATGAAAGAAGGTGATCATTAATTGTTAGCATTTGTATGAAAAAAGTAAATGCCTCATTTAGTCTAGGTGCCAACTTGATGTTTAAAAGAAAAGGGTCATAATATTGAAAAACTGCCAAAATTTGCTACGGTATTATTTTATAGTAAATTAACACATGCGGAAACTTATACCGGTATTTAAAAACAAAAAGAATTATTCAAAATGCAGATATATGTTTATTTTACTGGATAACGTACGCACGAGGCTTGGGATAAATATTCCTCTCAACTGGCTACTGGTGATACGACACACTTATTTGGATAATTTTTCTTCATGTAAATATTATTTGGTTAAATAATTATTAAAAAATGCAAAATATGAAAAATGCCTAGAGATGTTACTCGCATATGACAGCATTTTTTACATTGCATTCTTAGATAAACTATTACAGTAAAACCCCCAACCATATATTTTAGGCTGCTTTTAAGATATGAAAATCTGATGTGGCCAGTAAATAACCTCATGACAATCTCATGTTTTAAATAGCAACAAACTTTAATCATTTCTGTTTATTAACTCATAAACAAAACTTAATTTGCTGTTCCAATAAATAAAAAGGTCTGTCATACGAAATTCTAAATTATATTTTAATACAAATAATCGGCCATGAATAAAGCCTGGTTTTTCTAAATTTATAGCCAATAATCAAATATTTGCCCCCCACACACTTTTTTTGAGGGGGTGGCACAATCTGACAAGCCTATCTAACAAACTTTTATTATAGCAATTCGATACTGCTCCACAAAAATCTGTTAAAGATTCCAAGTAGATTACCACTTTCAGTTTATCATATAAAATCTAATATGTTGTTCTCAAATACATAAAAGTTTCAAATCTCAGATTTGAAGAATTGTGGGTTATATCATATTTCTTTACAAAAATCTGTTCAGAGCTTCAAGTAAAGCATCATTTCTGGTTTATCAAATTTTATCTAAAATCCACTACGTTGTTCCCATTGATATGTGTTGTGTTGTTACTTATCTCACTTGTCTGACAGTAACATCAGAATAAGCCAACTGAAATTCATCGTGGGATGGAAAGCAAGACTGTGCTTGTCATTAGTAAGAGCCCTGAGCACCATGCAGGTGACAGTATGACTTTGCTCACTTCTTCCCACAATTTTCATAGAGAGCACCCTGGGAGAACAGTAACGATGGTCTCCCACCTCTCTTCCCTATCACCAACCTCTTGAGAAGACTTTCGGCTTGCCATAT